AAGAAAGGAAAAAAAGTGAGATAAAAGCGAACGAACCAGACCGGCGAGGCAAAATGCGCGCGAAGGAAGTGGAGGAAGAGAGCCGGCTCCGATTGGTCGTACGATGAGAATTTATCTAATTACGTAAAGCGCGTGACGTGAATTCATTAGGATCCACCTTGGTTATTACGAAAGACCGAATATGTTAACCCACTAAAGAGTACAAAAGCGAGCAATACTTTGTAAATAAAATTAGTCGCCGAGATAATCAATGGAGAAAAAGTTAAGCATCTCTGTTTCTCTTCATATTTCAGAAATAATATATGTAAAAACTGAAAATTTTTATTGGAATATAGGGACGTAAAATACGAGAAAAAAAACGAGATATAAATATATAAAAAACCTGATATAAAACATTTTCTACATGGTTTTATGCAATATTGTGGCTTCCGTTTCGCTTAACTTCTCGAGCGGGATCATGAAGTCGTAATGAAGAGCGGAGTTCTTGATTCTACAGCACCATGTAATTGACATCGTACTACAGTCGTTAACCGCGGACGTTAACGGCCGCACAAATTGCCTCGCGCATGTATTAAACGCGCGAGGGGGAAATTCTCAAGGTGCCAAATGGCGAGCGTGAGGAACGTCGCGAGGGAAATGGACCATATATCTCTCGCAGGATTTCTTCGTCGCATCGACATTGAAAATACACGCGACACAGCGGCGGATGTTGCTAGAATTATTTGCAAGAATTTGCAAGAGAACGAGTATGCATCACGTCGAATTCGAAGTGCATTCAATTACGTCATCAATCATGGACGGAGAATTTCGTATTTTCTTCCCCCTGAACTTTCATTCTTCGCTGTTCACGGTTCTTTTCGCACCAGTCTTCGTATATTCGCGTCCGTCGTGTAAGATGGAGGGAAGATGGAGGGAAGTTCCGTTTAAAAAGCACAGCGACGTCCGTCCGTATTAATAGGAATAGCTCGAGCAGCGCTCGACAGCAATTTCCCGACGATCTGCGATATAACAATCGATCGCGACGCAACAGCGGTCGAGCCGTCCCGCTCGATCTGTTACACGAGAAAGTATTATATATCTATTTACATCGCCGCGTTCGCGATGATACTGTTACCGTGGTGATTCGCGAAAACGCGAACACGTGCTCCGGGCTAGAAACGGATTCGCCAAACGAGATGTTCGCGCGCGCGCGCGCGCGACACATGGGTGTAAAATTTCCTATATCGTTTCGTCCTGGCGAAGAGCCGTGTTGTGGAAACAAGAAGGATACGGCTGTGCCGTGCTCGGAGACATCGATCAGCGCTGATTTCGCGAACGTCATGCGCGAACCTTGAAAGGTGAGCAGAATTGACAGTTCGTTGCAATTACGAGATAACACCGCGACTCTAGATATTATCCAACCAATCTTTGTTAAAATCCCACTGAAATTGATTGGACCATTTCAGCGGATTCTTACGAAGCGTAGACTTGTTATTCTTACGCTCGAAGCTGGACGCTGAAGCGTTCGCTTCATCGAGGATTTTCAGTTGAGAAATCATAACGCTCATCCCCTGCGAATCAAAATTGTTTGCAGAAATTACTTGTTCCCCGATCTTCATTTCCGACACAGCCTTTTCCTGCCGAATCGTCGATTAGTGTCGGTCAGCTCGCTCCGATCGTATCAATGTTACAACGCAGGATCACATTCAGAGGATTTTATCTCCGGGCCATGTCGGCCTCGCGGCTTCTCTCTCGTATCGCTGGAAACGCGACTTTTTTCTTCCGTCGCGAAACACGCGAAGCGCCCTCGGTCGTCCATGAGTGGACGCGAAATTCAGGAATCAGGGGCACGGAGGAGGATCGAGAGGAGGACTCGAGAGAGTGGAGGTGGACTTTAATATATCCGCGACGCACGGATCTCTTTCAAACCCGGAGCTGCTGCTTGTCAGCGAGGGTGTACGATTTCCTGCGCAGCGAAAGCCAGAATGATCCTGATACGCGAAGAGAGGTGTGTTTTGAAAACAAGGATACGCTACCGCTAGCTCGGCTATTGTCATAACATCGATCCACAATGATCTGATGGCCGTGACAAACTGTATTATATATACGAATCCCGATCGGAGAAGAGGACGGTGCAGTCGGCCGATAATAGCCGGCCGCTCGATCGGAAAAGTGAAATCGACTGGGTGAATTCGATATCACCGGCAATTGTGTGACGTAAGATAATCATACGCGCGCGCTGCACGGTGTAACTGAACATACGGCGAGGACCGCGACTCGCGTTACGCGATCTTCGCTCGCGACGACGCCGCGTAACTCCGTAATCGGAAGGATATCGCTGTGTAAGCGGAGTAGGCGAGTTAAAACGAATTAGTCGGCTGCTGGGGGCAAAGTCGATCCCCGGGGTGAAGGTCACCGCCGCCTTCGCCGTCGGCGCAGAAAAACGTGGCATTCGCATTCCTGAAATGCTGCTAGGTTGAACGGGGAATCGACGTCCGGCGCCGATAAGCGAAATACAATACGTCGTGACATCACGCTCGGTGAATCGCGAGGCCCCCGTCACCGACGGGACACACAACGAACGAAGGAGCAAAAGGAAATATAACCGCATCTCGTCCTCGAAGACGGATCTTCTCGAGAATTACCCATCGCTATCGGCGCTATCGCCGGGTACATACCGGGTCAAAGACGATCGACGAGAATTCGATCTTGAGCCGCGCGATCTTGAGCTGCGCCGATATCTCATTGTATCTCATTAGCCATGCATCAATTTAATTTTATGACAAAGCTTCGATTTTCAACATTGCACATTGTTAACGAGCAAACTCTGTTAACGATCGCTGTGAACAATTCGATCGACGTCGACTGGACAAATAACGTTTCGTCGAAGACTGCAAATTTCGGACGAGCCGCAATCCTCGAGAAATGATTTCGCGATTTTTAAGCGTAAAAGATATAAATAAACCAATGACAATTTGGAATATTGATTTGCGTTAAACTTCAGCCAAAGACAGTCTTAAAGATGCTGTAAATTTATATAAATTATGACAGACGTTTTTCGTTCTCTCTCTTGTGAATTATCTTCGGTACTTATATGTAAGAACATTAAATGACAATTATATATAAGTATTCGTCTTTTATCATCATATCTAATCGCACGTAATCATATCTAATCATTATCATGATGTATCTCAGAGCCTTACATACTAATTTATTTCAGTCCCCGCCGACCTCGTTACAGCCGTAGTGGACGTGAGAGTTCCGAGAACCGTGAACTCATTCCGCATTGTGCAAATTTGCAAGCTCGGCGGAACATCGGCGAAGGCTATAGGAAAGCGGCAGCCGTTGCGTTTTCGTATCCCAAATAATTACGGCCACGTCGAAGGTCGATTTGCGTAATGTTTGTCGCATCGCGAGGTCCTGCGAGCTGACCGTCGTATTTTATCCCGAATTACGAAAGCCAAGGACGAGTCGCGTTCTTCACTCGCGCTTCAGCGGAATCTTCGCCACCAGCTGAAGACCAAAGGATGATCCGACCTTTGATCCGATCACGCTGTTGTTCATCATCTTTGCATCGACAAACCTTGCAACCGATAATCTTCTTGTTTTGTCATGTAATATAATTACACTCAAATCGATTTCCTTGCATCCCATCTTCCTCCTCTTCAACCGTTCTTTTTAAGATCACAGCCTAGACTCTCTTGTTGTCGTTTTGTTTTTATCTGTCATCCATATTATATTTTTTATTATCTTTTTCCTGCTGTATTTACCTATCTATTAATATTTTGCAATGTCAATCGGGGATATACAAAACCATAAGCGATTTTTACAGAACGATAGGAGGAAGGACAGTGTTTTGAAGTTATGGCAGCATAGGCTAGCGCTACACAGGAATTATCTGCGAGAGAGAGAGAGAGAGAGAGAGAGAGAGAGAGAGAGAGAGAAAGAGGAAGAGAGAGAGGGAGAGAGGAGATGTGTGCGCGTGTATGTGTGTCGGCGGGTGTCGCGTAGCACAAATCTCCAGTTGCAGTCAGGTGTGTTCGCGAACGTTTTGTGACGTTATCGCGATCTCGGTGCTTGTTCATGCACCTTGACGCTCTCTTTTCTCTCTCTCTCTCTCTCTCTCTCTCTCTCTCTCTCTCTCTCTCTCTCTCTCTCTCTCTCTCCTTCGCTCTCCCTACGTGTATAGCTCCTGACGTGTATTACACAGAGTATGCATCGGGCACGCGTTGTGCCTCCACGTGCGCGTGCACAAATACGCGACGGCACTGATTTCTCGCTACTGATAGCGGATTAAATCCTTCGGGTCGAGTCGCGGAATATAAATATCTCGCAAATCTCCACTGATGAGAGAAGACTCTGTCGGAAGAGTTCGGGTACCTTCGCTTATCGTTCAGCAGAATCTGGATTCTTCGCGAATCACCTACGTACGATTCGGGACACTTGCGGATTCGGGCCAATTTTGCGGAATCTAAATCGTCTTCTTTCGTGGATAAGCGGACAGATCGACACGTATATTTGTATTGACATTTTGATCTTTCTCCCTTTGTCCCAGAGTCGTTCTATTTACGTTACGTCCGTCTGTAAACTATCATTTTAATTATCCGTCGCGTCCCGTCAGCTTATGCGCATGCAATTAATCTCGCTGACTGACCTCAATTAGGCGATGCACGCGCGCGCGTCTGGAATATCATAATGGGTAATGGGGATTTTGCGTCCGGCTAATTCGCGAGGATCAAGTGGCGGGAGAAAGGGGAAGAAAGGGGAAGGACACGTGACTGCGTATCGGGGTACGACTAGGGTAGGGACATGCTCTGAAAACGTAATATGCTCGTTAACGTCATGGACGCCGTAGGCGCGTCATAGGCGAGTATCCGCGATTATCGTTCGCTCATTTTCTTGTAAATGAAGATTCTCTTCATTTACAAGAAATCTTCGTTTACGGAAGCTGAAGAACTTGCTTGCGTCTCGAATCTTTAGGTAACCTATCTCACGCTGATGTTTTGCGTTCCAACTCCTGTTTCGCCGTGCGTTTGAACCGCTTCGCACAAAGGGAAATCACCGATGAGCGGAAGAGAGAAAGAGAGGACGAGGGAAGGGGGAGAGAAGGAAAGAGACGAGACGCGGCGAGGGTGAGGTCAAACGGGCTCAAAAGCCTCGCGGCGGCTCTTGGCTCGCGATAGAAATCCGATACCCCGTTAGCAGCTACCTCTCCGTTTTCTTTCTCCGTCTTCTCCGTATACACGCACCACTGAAACATCGTACGTTCATGCACTCGAGCGAGCGACGATCATTTGCTCTCTCGTCCCGCGTGCATCGCTTCCCCCCTTTTGCTTTTGTTCCTCCACTCGCTTAATCATCGAGCACCGCCGATAGGTCGCGTTTGAAGATTGAAAATCGACTGGCGATTTTTGCCAAGATCATACGCGACGAATCCGAGAGTTTTGAGCAAGATTCAATACCGCAAGAACCTCTCTCAGAGATCTTTGCGGAATCCGTATGAGTTATCCGAGGAATGTCGGTCTTTTTCATACGGAACGCAGGAACATCGTCTTGCAGAGAAAGAAAGGAAAGAACCGAGGAGTTGACGAATGTTAATCACGCGCGTTGTACCGGTCGAGACAAAAAGCTCTCTCAAAGGACAGCGTATCGTAAGGGGAAGAAGGGTGGAGGTAGGAGGAAGGTCAAAAGGTCATCTTGACAACGATAGCTCATTTCGCGATATCTTCCGCATGAACCAATCTCGACCTCTTCGTCGCTCATGTGACGTAAGAAGAAAAGTATACGTCAATGCGTGAGAACGCAGTTTTCACGACTGTTACATTGAAGTTTCCCGTTTTGCACCCTTACGTAGTCCCCCAAGGTTCCAAAATTTGTACAAAACACGTAGGGTTATTCTTCTAAGCTATTCTCGTACAATCGAATTTTCTGCGAGTCAACATAGCTCCTAATTTGTCGCTTTCTGCACGGAACGAGTGCAGTTCTCTCGTCCCAAATACGCGGTAAGATCGAGATGAATGTTGTGGAAATTTTCATGTCACGGTATAGTCTAGATCGCGACTAGATACGTCATTACCGGCGATTCTTTCTGTTCATGTATCGTGTACACGCAACTACAAATCCCCGCCCCCTACTCGCCCCCAATTCGCATCGTTGAGCTTCTCTTCGCGCTCGAATTTGTCTGAAACAATCGCGCTTCTCGGGTCACTCTGACGTCCGAGATTTATTAGCGCGGCGCTCGCTTACATAAATCGCCCGTTTACCGATCGAAGCCGAGGCACTCCGGCGGTTCTCGGTTCGCAATGCAATTAAACTTGTCCGTTAATTCCAGCGAGCGATAAGGAGAAGAGAGGAGGGGATTTCGTTTCGGGGCGAGGGAAGGAGAACGGCCACGCAACGAAACCGTGGTCTGCCCCAAAGCTTTTTTTTCGCCGCGATGACGACGCGCCGGCGACGGCGATGCCGAGCATGACAACCATCGACGACGACGACAACGACGAAGAAGCGTATCGTTATCTTCGTCGCTATCGTGTTTTGCTATAGTAAATACGCAGCGCGGCGGCGCTGTTTTGCACAGGCGTTCTACCCCGCCCGCCGCCATCGCCGGAGCATTGATTAATCGGACAGTCGCGGGCCGTTCCGTGGTCAATAACGGGGTAGAGTCTGATAGTTCGGGCTTCACGATAATACCGAGTACCATCGGCTATTTTTAAACCTTCGCTAATGTAGGAGGACGGTGCGCCGCGCGGCAGTTGGAACGCCGTGCTGGAATTTCACCGAGCGCGATTCCACTTCGTGCTCGAGACAGTCGAGAGGAATCGGCGACTGCCGCCGATCTCGAAACGCTTATGACGACTGCGTACCGTCACGCTTCTCCGCTGATAATGACGAAGAAGCTGTGGCGGGCGCGAAACACAAAGGGAACGAAGCCGGGCGAAATCGATTACTGTACGATCACGCGACTTGAAGACGGAGGCTCGACCGCATCCTCGCCGTGGGGTTTGCTGTCGGAGGCTGACCTTTTACCGCCAGTATCACTACTGTCGTTGCGTTTTTTTTCATATTCTCTACGTCACTTCGAGCACCGCGCGTCTTTCTGCGTCGAGAAACCGCGAGATGTTCTTCTAGGCTCGTGGAATGTTTCTTCTCACAATGCGCGATCGCGCCCGAGTCTCTCGCCATCTCCTCGTTCCATCGAGAATAATTGAAAAATTCGCCCACGGCAGATTATGCACAAACGCTTGTCTGCGCTTTTGACAGCAAAATCGCAGAGTTTACCTGCGCCTAAGGACGCTCGAGAGATCGATACGCAATCGTGAGAGGAGAGCGGATGACCCGCGTCACAGTGCGCCGGCAATCGGTGACCCTGTTTATTTATTTTGTAATCGAGGCGCACGGACATAATCATCGCGAGCACACATTCGCATCAAAATAGACATAACGTAGTAAACAAGGGCATAGTTTGCAAGCAAACAGTAGTTCCCGATAAGGAATATCGGCGTTATCGCGACGATATTATGCTCGCCGAGACCTTACAGAAGAAGTTGGCAAAAACTGCTAAAGTTTAAACGGATAAGTCGACCGCGCGCGGCGTTGTTAATTAGGCGTTTCGCGATCAGACGCGCATACGTTATATAAATCGCATCTTCTCGCTTCCGACAGAAGATATGAAATATTTTCTTTTCACGCCTGTCCGAGGCTGGAACTTGTTGAACTGTTAGAAAAAAATTTGAAGTATTATTTTACATTTTACGCGATTGACGATGCTAAGGGGGGAACGCAGATATATTTTATTATTTTACCACGAGAGAGAGAGAGAAAGAGAGAGAGTGTGTGTGTATGTGTGCGTCTGTGGACGTTTCTTTACCGCTAAACATGTTAATCTTTCAGAAGAATATCATGTAAGATCTCTCAGGATTTTAATAGGTACATCACGAGGGAATTTCGACGGTCGCGCGAAGAGAAACGGCAAGAGAGCAATCTTACGGATTTCCAGTCGGAGGAGCACAATGGACTGTAATAAGCAGACCGCGGCGCGTAACGGCGGCGCAATAGTAATTAGATCAGCGTTTAAGCGATAATCGGCTACCCTATAATTAGACGTGTCAGCTATTTCGTACGACTTTATCGCGCGGCCTTTATTGCTACGATAAACTTGCGCGTATAATCGTTGTGTTAGTGGCGAATAGCCGCGCGTGAACTGTACCCATGTAGAACACAACAAGTGACCCCGCATCTTGCGCTCGGCTACACTTTGTACAATCGGTACGTTCGGCTAAATCGGCTACAACATCGCGAGGCGAACGTTCATTCATCTTCGAAAGGATCCTCGAAATATCCGCGATCGCGTGATAAAGCAATTCGCACAGGATCGCGATGCTCGGTCTTTAAAGCTAAATAGGAACTGACGCAAACAATCGATGAATCGCGAGATGAAAGATACCTGTGATGCTCTTGAAGACGGTAACAGCCTAAAAGACCTGGCCATTCGAATCGTTGCGCACGAGACATCAGAAAGTTTCCATTTTATGGAACGCATTTATGGAGCGCGGTTTTTTCCCCGATAATGGAGTCGAGCATTATCGCGTTCAAGTAACGCGATTCTTTCGCAAAAGTGTGCTCTTTGGTCTCTCTCGCGGGCATTTGTGCCTCGCTTGAGTTTCGTCTCGTGAAGACGCGAGAAGCTGGGAGACGAAAGTTCGAGTCGTTCTAGGATTCCTGACAAATTGCTGAGATAGGACTAGCTGAGATAGGGAAGGATAATTATCGATATTTTCTCTTTTTCTCTCTCTCTCTCTCTCTCTCTCTCTCTCACTCACTCTCTCTCTCTCTGTCCCCCTCTTCCCCTGCCTCTCCCGAGAACGGCAGTCTAAATGCGACCATCGGAGCTTTCACGAGGAACGAGGATCCACGAAGAAGGAGCTGTCGTCGTTGAACGATACGTCAGCTCTCGCCTTAAAGCACGCCAGCCTTCCCGGATTAGCGACTATAACTCTTACGCGGAGCACTCTAAACAGCACGATTCCCGAAACACGCGACACTCGTTGCTCACGATTCTCGGCCTACCTCTTGCCGCATCCAGCATCCATTCCGGACCGCCTGGCGGAGCCCGACGTTTTTCCCGCGACTCTCTCTCTCTCTCTCTCTCTTTCTCTCCCGGGCCTGCCTGATAATCGCTCTCGTCAGACAATCTCGCAAGGCGAAATTCTAATCACCGACACGATTTTTGTGAAACGAATGAATAGTCACACGCGTGACGTAATCACATCGACTGGAATGAATACATGGATACGTAGCACATGAAGAAAAGAAAAACAGGCTGCATCTCATCCTTGCGCTAGAGTGTAAGAAACGCTTCTCTAATCTACCAATTCTGCAATCGCGAGAAAAGTTACAAGAGTGTCTTCGCTCTCTGTCCTTCGAACGGGTATCTTTCAGCGACTGCTGCGTATCTTCTCGTTTTCGATAGACTTATCTCGACCAAGGCTACAGTCGGGAACTATTAGCGATTATTTCGTCGGTAGCTACGCGCGCGCGTATATCTGCGCGTAACATCGGGACATCGATATCCGTCTAAGGTTTCAGCTTTGTAAGTAAGGCCGGCGGGATTAATCGGCGAGCGAGAGCCGTGTCGGCGAGGTCTATCTCGAGCCTATCTATCCGGACATTCAGCGATTAGCGAATAATAAAGTCCGGTAACACGAGCCGGATAACGACGACAACGACGACGAGGGAGCTGCTCCCTTTTATCGCTCTGCTACTCTTTCTCCTTCTCTTCCTCTCTTTCTTCCTCATCGTTCTTTCGGTGATGTTCTTTGCCGACCGACTCGGCGATCGCGCATGGAAAGACGAACCTTCCCCAAGCAATCGTATACCAGGCGTGATAGTCGACCACCGACGAGTGCTTGGACCGAGAACTCGTCTCGATATCCCGTCAAAAATGAAGAATGAAAGAACAGGTCAACTCGCTTATCAGGTCAACCCGCTGGTGAAATCCCTCGATGGCGAGCGAGGACGACGATTCCGAGCGTCAAGCCGGCCGATACGTCGACGAAAGTTAAAGAAATCATACCGAGTGTTTTGCCAGTACATGCTCGGTACATCCCGACGAGATAAACGGCGAGAGGAGATGGTATTTCTATGCGGCGGAATTAGGAGAAGCACGCCGCCGCCGCCGCCGCCGCCGCCGCGACGACGACGACGACGATTTCGTCGGCGTAGACTGTAGTAATCGCAGGGGAGAGAATGTGTGACTAAACGCCGCGCGGAAAGATCAGGGCTCCTCTCGTGCGCGCAGGCCTCTCGCGGTATATCACTCTCCTCTCCTCTCCTCTCCTTCCCTCCTTCGTAAGGAAGCGCGGTCGTCGTCTCGAACGTCGTTTTCTCGCGGAGGAGACACTCCCTCGCGATGGCACGGCGACGATATCGCTCTCCTCAGTCTCCTCTCTTTCTCCACCGCACGCTTTTGTATTATTAGAACGCGGCCTTTAGCGACAAGTCTTCAAGTTTGATTTCCTTCCGCCGCGCGACGACGATCGTGCTCCGTGCGATATCCGGCACTCGTTCGACGAGTAATCGCCGTCGCGCGTCTCGATTAAAAGCGGAAAATTCGGGTCAGCGTTTCCTCTCTTACAGTCCGCCGCGATCTTCGTCGGAGATCATCAGCGGCTTGCGAGACATAATGTAACGGAAATGACGAAGAGGGAACACGTACCTTGATGCAAGGGTGGCAGTGGCGACGGCGGCGACAGCTGAAACGGCTCTTGTTTGATCTTCAGGGAATGAGGAGAGTCCTGCATGCCGCCGAGTCCCGTGGCGCCCAGATTGCCATTCCCCTGTTGCAGCTCCTGGAAACATCATTGAATTTTCACACATCTATCGCATCCTACAGATAAAGTTCAGTCGCTCGCGATCGATACCTCTGCAAATATAATTATCTTTATCATGTGTGTTGAAATAAACATTTTAATACACAAATGCACGCGGCGGTTAAAAATATCGAAACAAAATTTAACAGACCGGTCGAAATGATTTCGCGACACCTTACCGAGATAGCCGAAAAGGCTTGGAAAAAAGAGAGAGAGAAAGAGAGAAACAGGGTACAGAAGAGAGGAGGGGGGGACGCGCGAGTCGCGCGTTATAAATCTTCGATAAAGGATAGCGCATTGACGAGGTAAATTCACGTCACCCTAAAATACTCCCTAAAACATAGTCTCTCGTAGAGTCCTCCGACGGAGGTAAACGAACCGAGGAATCACCGGCACGGCTTGAGAGTAAAGAAACGAGAGAGAGAGAGAGAGAGAGAGAGAGAGAGAGAGAGAGAGAGAGAGAGAGAGAGAGAGAGAGAGAGGTGGAGGACCGAAAGACTTTTGGCTTGGAGCTTGCGATGTTTGATGTTACCGTCGCCGGAAGCTTACAAACACCGACTCGGTGTTGTGACATCGTATTATGCCGGCCGAAACTTACGGTCTCACTAGATCGTTAATTTGCGATCCGGTTTTACAGCTTCCAGGTCGCTTCTCACAACCGAATCGCGAATCGTCGCGAAACTCGATGCGTATTAAAACGAAACACATCCCGGCGAGAAGTAGTTAATTATTTTTCACAGATGTAGCCGTCATCGTACGGTGCCAGAGCTGAGAATTCGCCAAGACTTATTTCATTGCTTGACTAGGCTCTCACAGTTACAAGCTGATAGCTCCATCAAAAAGATCAAAAATATTTCTCCTCTTTCTTCCCCCATCGTATTGTACAGATCGCTAGTCTTTTTATTCCTCTTTTAATTGAATATAAAATCTAAGCTTCAAAGGCGTAAATACGAAGATTTTATTTTCATGCGCGCGTACAAGTCTGTGATGGTGAAGAAATAATTAAGGATGCAAAACATATGATTTATCGTTTCACTAAAAAGAAAATATTAAAATTGTAGCCTCTGTTAATTTGCATATGCTGTTGTTTGCGACAATTCTAGCGGCATCTTATTTGCGTCGAAAATAATCACGGGAGCCTTATCGTTTCCGGCCGGGATTACCGACTCGTGATCTTCTTACGTTTGTTGTGCACGTAGCGCGAACACATGAAGATCTCATTAACGAGTTGCAAGAAATCAAAATCAACGATGAAAGAGAGAGAGAGAGAGAGAAAGAATCTTATCAGAGTTTTAATAAAAAAACTGATTTCAAATAAGTTATATCCGGGTATATAAATCATATTATTTTTCGCGTATTATTTTTTATTCTTTAGCTAAAATAATTGAACATGTCGGCCCCTTTCTCTGTAGCTGCTAATAACAAAAACATTATCGATATTTTAATACTTCTATCAAATATTTAATTTTTTTCGGGCAATGTCATCCATTTGAAAAGATATAAAGCTGAAAGATCTCGAATGTCTTTAATGATTATATTAAAATCAAAACGACATTGTCGTCAGTTCAGGAGATTTGACATTTATTGTCATGTGTGTTCAATCTTCTCGTCGAAATACTTGAATACTTGAAGGCTCTGGCAATCAAGGAGCGAACCAATGGACAGTAACCAGAGTTATCATCGATTTTTAGCTCGTATTTACGAAGCCGATCGTCGCACTGCAGGATTGGATCGATAAAACGACACTTGATAACCCACTTTTGATCCATTCAGCGATCATAACGAGACAAACTGCGCGAACGACGCGAAAAACGTCATGTCCGTGTGGAAATCCGTCAATAACGATTTGACCCTATACTCTGATGTTTGCTTGTTATAAATTGCGAAGCGATAAATCTCAGCTAATATACAATCATTATAAATAATAGCGCCGCTATAAATAGTAGCACTAACATTGCTATATCTGTCGCAATTATATCCGGTATATTAAACATTGGTTATTCCTGTTCTTCAATTACGGGAAGATTAGAAACTAATCAAGTATACACGTCTGTGACAAGTGTACACAAACTGAGACTTAAAATAAAATCTATTTTTTATTCAGACGTTATTATATATTAGTTAAAGACGTACTGATAGTATCTCCAAAACAGTTGATCTGAATCATGTGGTCAAAAGGAAAAATAACTACGTGACCGGAAAAGCTTATGTTAATTGAAGATTTCTTATAATCGCTCCGCGCACATAATTACTATCTCAGTCGTTTAATTAACGTAATTATTTCGGTCGGCATTAAGCAATCTTTCGTTGAAATGCGTTACGATTCAATTTAAGTCCATGCGGTCATTATATGCCGAATGCATTTATATAATGTTTATATACATACCAACAGGCTTTAAACCTAATATTTACGAAACACATTACCGTGATGAACATATTATCCAACTCCCCTAATAGTGGGTAGAATACTCCAGTAATCCAATGCCTCAATTCGTGTTATAATTAATCAAATCTGCGTTACGCGAATTAAGACTGATGACCCACGAGAGGAGAAAAAGAAATGTGTTTTATCGAATGTCCTAAATTTTTTGAGAGCTATTTACACTTCGCGTGTTATTACAAGAAATCCGAAACAAGTTAATCTTTCCCGCGATGAACCTTTTATCACACAATTAGTGGCAAATGTAACTGTACGTATCGAATACTAATATATTCGCATTTATACGACACTATAAACTCTTGCTTGCGACTCACCGTGCGCGCGTCCAAATGTTCTTTAACTCGCTATATTTTGTCCTCTATTCTCGCAAATTTTAATAAACAAATTTCTACTCTTTTCAGTCGTGCCCCTTTTACAGTCTCTCAATAGAACACAAGATAATGCTTGCTTAATTTTAATGTGCAAAGCGCAAAAATATGCAGTTACGGAAAATCTATCGATGAAATTTTGATCAAAATTTTCAGTAAATTTTAAGATACGTGATGCTGTGTGAAATTGTCGCGAAATAAATCTGAACGAAGACGCAGATGATGAGTGGTTGTGAAATTTTCGAGATCATGACCCTGGCTTCTTTCTTTCGCTCTTCTTGAATGATAACGAGAGAGTGTACAGCACTAAGTTCATCGTTAATCCGTGTCGTACTGCAAAAGGAGAGAAGCTCCAAAAATAATATAAGCAGACCCAAAAAATGCGATTTTGTCGAAATGTTTCACAAATATAAGAGATCGCTTAGAAGTGATTCTTTCAATTTAACGAGTCGCATCTAACAAGATATCGCGAAATTTCCTGCTATTCTGGTATCCCTGAATATAAAACTAATTGATTTTAGACAATATCGCGAAATTCATTTCTTCAAAGCCTTTAAATCGGATGACAGTTACAATTTTTTATGAAAACTATCTTCAAATATTTTCTATTTTTAATATCATCTATTTTTCCACGAGGAATCGATTAACAGGAGGATTTATTTTGCTCCGATTAATTCTTTTTAACGAAAACGAGTTCTTCCTTACCCCGGAAACCGGAATGATGTGCGAGACCATCCTGGATCTGTCCGCGGATGTGTAATTCATAAAGGCGTCGGCCGTCGCCGCAGCATTTACACAACGATGCCGCTGCAACTCCTCCCGATCGGCGGATAAACTCTCCACAATTGCGTCGTCTTCGATGACAGCTTTGATAGCCTCGGATCGGTCCTCGATAAATGTCTCCAAGATATTGTCAGGTTTCCAATATCCAAAATCTTATTTCACTGACACTTCGAAATCGAAATTCACTTCGAATCTGAAATTTTGCTTCACTGACACTTCGAAGTCGAAATACACTTCGAATTCGAGATCGTTTTACATTTTCGAGTGAATCGTTTGCGTAGCGTTTGATTGCAAAAGGACTTGGGGAATGCGTCTTGATCCGGAAGGCACTGCCAGAAAATCTGCAACAGAGTAAACGCACATCTTCTGTGTAACATCATTTATACAATATGATATTCCTCTTCCTTTAAACATACATAACAATTTCACAAAATATGTGATCTGCATATGACGGGAATTTCTCTTTGATAAATTCGAGATCTCCCTCACATAAAACCCAGAAAAGTAAAGCTTGCAATTGGACATACAATACTACACCGGAACCGAATTCAACCGGTTCGGGACGGTACCGAAAAAAATTAGCATTTCGGTGTATAACAGCGTCTAAACTGTAATTGTAACTTTTTGTCCCACGACCGAACTCGATATAAGTATCTTGAAACATAGCAATATATCGCGATGCATCGCATAGTCGAAACTTTCTGACATGTGTATTGTCCGTGTATAATGCGTTTCAAAGGGGCGCTATTTTTCTTCTAAAAGCTCTAAATTATGACGCTCTATTTTCACGTGCAGCGCGAGACGAGGGCGACGAGATAAGAGACGAGGTTCCTACCCGTCGACTGATGATTTCAGCGGGATGACGGGTATGCAACAGCTGAGCACTTAGCATCCTGGGCCGATGACAAGGATGGAAGGAAAGGAATCGTCCCCGGGGACTCATCGGTACTTCCGCTGGCGCGGAGATAGAGATTCTCGCCGGAGAGGTTCGTAAATCCTATTTCTCGCTCGATCGGTGTGCGCCCGATGTTTACTACTTTTCCCGCTCGACCCTTCTTTAACACGCATTAAGTGCCGCAAAGCGACTTCGAGGACCTATTTTCTTTTCAGATCGCCACAGTTTGTAGATATCGTGTTCTCAACACTTTCGTCGGCGCGAACATCACGATGGTTTGTGACGAATGTGCACGGGCTATTTAAACTCAATGATATTACGGTTCTTACCGATGCAATACTCATTTTACCATTTAATATTAATTCTAATTTAACCTACCGAATTAAGATAATGTTATAATAAAATAATCAATACAGGAATACTACAATATATCGTGCAATTGTTGTAATTTCATCCACGAATCCTTCAAAACTTTTGCATGATTACATACATGTCGTTTCAGGAATAATCAAAACGAAATAGCATTTACGTTTCGAATACGATATGCATAATGTTTTTAATAACGTAATACAATCGTCTCCGAACGCTTCTAAATATCTCGAGAATTTTTGAGAACGAATTTTTTATCATGTATGTTAATGAAGTTTTATCGGTCTTACAGTGACCAGTGTAAAAATATTTATATTCATTGACAGGAAATCATTATCAATTAGATTATGTGTTTTTGTGACATATTTTATGTTTTCGTTGCTAATATAATTAATCATCTGTTTGCAGTGCGAATGGTCGCAGCCGATAAGAGATGTAGAAATATTTTACTAATCAGCGCATACACACAACTCGATGTTTATTGTTTCTTGAATCCTCTTACAATATACAATTTTCAATGTTTCTAAACAATTTCAGAACTATCACACGCGTCTCTTTACTATGGTAAATCACGACGTGCAGTTCGTGCATGCAAGTTTATCACTTTCTAATGGTAGTACAACTTGAGATATCTATACTCACTTACTATCGGCAAATTATTCAACTCGTCAGATATAAACAGAACACACACGATGCATTGTAAATACCAATCATTCATTCAAGATCATTTTTCATAATTTGCATTCCGCGTGTTTGTAAACTTTTGCTAGACAATTTATCAAGCTTACTACAAATCACCAGCCATCTTGACCTTACTTCTTTATTTACAACCGTAATATACCTTTTGTCATGTACCATCAATTGTCTCGTGTAATTATCTCGACTTCCTGGCATTCCGCAGACATCTGCCAGTTTACGATTCGCGAAGAATTTACTCACACGCGTACTCTTCTGTCTTTTACTTCATATTGTATTCTCTTGTTTACCACGTACTTATCGTTCTTACGTGTAACAACGGCGATTCGCGGATTACGACGAATATATGCGGAGGACAGCGAGCGAGGTTGTCGCAATTCCGCGCACGATCGGCAAAGCGGAGCACGCGGCGGGCATCGAACGTCGGCGCCACTCTTTCTTTCGAGTAATAAGGAAAACGCGCTTATCTGCAGCGCAGCGCAGCGCAGCAAGAAGAAGAAACATTTATCTCGCTGTTTAATAAATACCACGTCGGGGTCCTGTACAGATCCCGGCCGATCGCGCGGCCAAGTTTACAAACTCGCCGCGATCTCTCATGCGCCGTCGACAGACGCGGGTCTTTTAAGATAGTCAAATTATTATACAAAATCGCGGCACGCTCCGCGACGATACTTTTTCTTCCGCCCGACTTAACGCGGCGCGATAAATGCGAATTCTCATTCATTAGCGCGACGTCCGCCGTCGCTCGCTGCTGCGGCGCGTCGAGTCGTGCTCTCTTCAGCCGCGCGTCGTTTTATCCTCCTCGTGTCATCGACGTCATCATGTTTTCGCGAGGATCTCCGACGGAGAGATTCTCTCGTGGAATATCGATTACGCGACGAAAATAGCCATCAAACATTTTCGATGCTGATCAGATATCGAATGAAATCAGATGATCAGATGATGATTCGGACAAAAAGCAGTAGCAAAAAAACCAGGGCGTAGAAAATATAATCGGAGACGTATATAAAACGCGCATTAGCAATTATGTTTACACACATTATAATCAAGGCACGTATAATCGTAGCGTGAGAGAAAAATCTTGACTGCCAGGAATGTTCGACATAAATTCTGCCAAGCAGCGCGATTTGTACAGTGGCGCGTCGAGCGCTTGAAGTTGCAGTCGAATCATCTACAGGCTGTTTATAAAACTTTCTTACGTTTTTAACCTCTTATTGTACGTTTAAACTTCATACTGTTTTTAACCTCAATTTCCAATCACGCACCGACGCACGCTAATACATCGGGCCAAATCAGGCTGGACGATATGGACAGAATGCTCGCGGGGGATGCATTTCTCTATTCGCGATCGCGCGAAGGATCAAAGGCTCAGAGAATCGCGTCGCATCGAGAGTTTCTATCGCCGGTGACAACAAAGAGAGCCATATTGGCGTTGCCGCGTCGTTACCTGCTGCGTGTATTCTCCGAGGGGGACCAAGACTCTCCTCCGCCGTCTCACTCCGATTCACCGTGTCGCAAAACGCGAAACTCGCGAGCGAGACGTCGGATGGTTGGACCGCGCGCGAAAACGGACACAAGAGCGGCGAGACGAAATCGAAGGCGAGAAGCGAGATCGAGACTGGGCCGTCAAAGAGCCGCGAGAGCGCGATCGGCGATGCGCGCGCGCGCGCGTCCGTGCGACGTGAAGGTAGGCGGAGTCGCGTTCGGGCGCGACTTCAGGCCGCCTCCCTCGGCGAACCCGAAGCGCGTTGCGCGTCGACCGACCTCTCGGCAACTTCACGTCGCGTCGCGTTCGATAGCGGATTCAAGTTCGTCATGGCCCTAGGCACGGCATCTTCGATCGCGACCAATTTTCACAAGTCCGTTAGTTCGCAAATAGACGCATCGCTCACGCGATCCGGCGCTTGTCGCATGGCTGTGTCATCTTTCAGCCCATTTTTTTCTGGACCGCGGCTGAGAGGCGCATGTTCTCTGGATAATACCTGGCTAATAACGAGCCGGCTTCTTCCAAGCACAAACGTCGAAAAATTTCGACGTGAACATTTCGGCTCGTTCGATCGGCGAGAAAAACCGGAGTATAGCCGTGATAAGCGAAATATCGGTCGCGGCGGACGAATATTATGTAATTACGCTGACGTCGCATTCCGCAAGGCGCGTTAAGCAACTATGGTTTTACTCGGTAATCATCGGCTAGAATCGATGTCATGGAATTAAGGTCAAGAGAACGAGGTCGCGTGCTGAAATCGCTGACCACCGTCAAAGATACAACACACGTTACGTTGAGCACACAAGTGATCGAGTCCAGTGATTTTGTAAGGTCATCAGCACTTTTCTGCAGAACTCAATGTACGGAGCGCCAGTGATTTTAAAGGAAAGCGATGACTGTATGCAGTCGCCGAAGATTCTATAGAATCGTTAGAGGAATCATTTTTATAAAAAAGAATTTGTTTTTGAATAACTCTTGGAAAATTGGCTTACTTACTGGATTGGTTAGGTGCGTTTTGAAAAACGTAGAAGGGGAAGTGTTCAAACAGCTTTTGCAAATGAGTCGAACATATGGTTAATTTTTTTCGAAACTCTGAAGTTTTGGTGAGTGAATTCTATCGATATATCGATCGAGAATCGATTTATCCGACTAGACACGATCTCTATTCTTTTGAAATATGGATTTAGTATGGCGCGAAAATAAGAGATTACGTCAGAGATTACAGCGAATGATACACCACGATAAGGGGTAAGGTATATTCTAAGTGTAAAATATTTGAATTAAAGAGAACTTACAACGTGAATGCTACATAAATGTCGCTTAATATTAAAACTTCAAGCGAAGTGCGAAAAAACAAAGCGTGAAGTGCATCTCGCGAGAGGGCAGAGATGATTTTTCAACGAGGTTTCCAACGAAACACGTTCGTCGTGTCCAACGAGCGCGTGTATCACTCGATCACCCTGTACATAAATGTTTTTATCAAACTGTATATTTATAGCGCTCGATTCTCTGCACAACGGATTTTATGCTACAATGTGAAAAAGGGCAGATGTATTAAAAGACTGGCGAGACTACGGAAAGACCGGCGTATCGATAAAAGAAGAGAAGGCTGCCGATAGAGAGCTGGTGAAATATCGCGTAAACGAAACCTCTCACGTGGTAGGGGAACAACGGAGACCGCGACGCCATGTTGGGGCGTCATCGAGGAGCCTCTCGTCTCGTGCGATTGGTCGGAAATTTGCTCCAAAACATCGACTCGACGCGCACTCGCATTCACCCCGGCGACTCCTCGCGAAGCTTTGCGTTCGATTCGCGTTCAATTCACGAATCGCACCGACGAGCAAGGCACTGGAAGGCACAAATTCGCCGTTTAATGGCGAGCTATCCGACCGCAGATTCCATAAACGCGTCCTCCGCTGTAATTTCGGACGCGACCAAAGAGCTTATTTTCAGACCGCCCTAAATCTATATTTCGAGAAAATAAAGATCGCATCTAGTCGAATCACAATCGATTCTCCCGCCGATGTAACCACTACAGAATTCTCACCGACTTCAGATCTTCGAAAAAGCAACCGTAAATTGACCGATGCACACTTTCGTAGAGTTTAAGTAAATTTCCATCCTCATAAAAATCGGCAAAAATTTACATCGTGAGTATTGATATTGATACGATAAAAAAAAATCTCACATCTCTCTACATAAAAGTTATAAAATGTTGATGCTCCGTAAAAAATATAGCGCTACAGGAGTGCAGCGAAATCGCATTCTGTAATAATGGAGCGTTAACTTGCAATAACGGTATGTGACACGCCTATTAGCAATCAGCCATCGCGTCAATTTACCGTGAACACGTACAAATTTCACGGAACCTGAATACACATCTCGTCCGAGCTTATTTTCAAAGCGTTTCGAAACTATATTTAAAAAATATTTAAAAAAATACACGCGTGCAGATATAAAGCTGCGGAGAGCTTCAGAAAGCCTCGCAACGCGTAATCCCCATTAGTCGAAAATACGAATTTATGACGCTTCCAAAGTGAGATTTTCGATCACACCTGATCCGCGTTGCCTCTCGTGATGCTGACACCCTTGGCGGAGATCTACGGAAATCGGGGATCGTAGATTGGTTTGGCGACAGGAAGAGAAACAAATGGGAACAACGGTGGTCAAGCGTGGCCGGATATTTTTCAACAGTTGCAATGGCCGAGTGTGCGAATTGTTGTCCGAATGCTGGGACTTACGGACGCCGATGTTGCTGATATAGCGGGCTATTGTTAACCCAGCACAATGACTGTGTTTAGCAACATCGACCAGCCCGGTCGCGTTCAATTGTTCCTGCCTGTCTCACCGTTGCGCGTCCGCGCGCTATTGCATTATTGTGTCGACAAGTTAGTTAACGCTCTGTGAACGACAATTAATCCTCTCTGGACGCGATGTCTGTTATCACTTTTTTATTCGACGCACCAACACGCAAATTCTGTCCCACAGGCCACCGTATCGCATTTCAATTCACCAATACGTTCGAAGCTGCGCGCAATTTGGGTTATTGGCATTGCTAATACCCAATTAATCGAATGAAAAAGAATCAATTAACACATTCGGATTATCATGCGATTATTATTGACCTACTCTGGTTGTAATCAATTGGTTGATCGAGACGAATAAAATAGATATGTACGAAAATCAAGTTCCTTTTCCAGGAATTTTTCTATATTTTTTGTCTAAATCCTGTCGCTTAAGAAGTTAAGCCTGGCGAATGAAATACTTAGGTTAATTTTATCAGACGAAGAAAAGAAACATATTTACGAGTTTATCCCAATTTGGTCTTCTCTTGGAACATGCTTACGCTGATCTTTTTATCAATAATGATTGATTACCAAAAAGAAAAAAAGCCGATAAATTGCGATGACTAAGGAGCCTTTATCCTTCAACCTGCTTATGTCAGAGCACGGTTGAAGAAACGGGAGAAAGAAAAGGAGCCCTTGTTTTGATTGGGCAATGTCAAAGCAAACTGGCTCTCTCGACCCGGACTGACCTCTCTCTCTCTCTCTCTCTCTCTCTCTTTCTCCGTCTTTCTTTCCCTTTTGCCCTCCTTTTCTCCCTTCTCGTGAGTTCAAGCTCACCCTTCGCTTTTTACTGCCGTTTTATAGTCGTTTGTTTGTCGCGGCGAGGCGAGACAGGAGCGATTACCACGCGGTCACGTTTCGTGCAGAACAGTATCGCGAGGTATAATCGTGACTCTAGAAGCTCTTCGTCTTTTGTTTTGCTCGAAATATTTATTAATTACCGCGCCTATCTCGAAAATCGATCCGCTTGTGACCCACTCAAAAGTTAAGAGATAAGCGAGCGTAATAAGGGAGCGTTTACCTGATCTTCGGTGCACAGTGGATTAATTGTGAAATCGCCATTGTAGCTATCTATCTTGACTCTCTCCGTCCTGACGCACGTCGAATCTCCAGTCTCTATCGACAAGTTCATGTTCACACCTAAAATCAGAGGAAATCTGTTAGTTTAATCGTCAAAATTGTAACCTACTCAGAACTAAACACGAGGTTTTTCATTGCGCAGCGTTCTTGTGATAGCAAGAATTCATGTTTGATCTTTCGTTTTATTGAGCTGAAATTTGCGTGTCGCGGCGCATTAGACGTTATCGATTCGCGTAACGAACCTCCTATGACGAATTTACATCAGACGCGGGCCACTGTCGTTCTCTCAGAAGAACCTCGTAAATTATTTTAGGGCCAAGTCGTGAGGCATTTGAGATCTGCCGTCTCGGCAGACGACGGCTTCATATTTTAGCGGCCACGAGGCGTAAATGTTTACGTTAAAAACGACCCTCGTCGTACAATATTACCTTTTACGCGTCTGACGTTCCTTGCACGCGCGAACGAGCCCGAGCCCTTCGCGGTCCTCGGCCCATTCTCTACGCAGCGATACTCCACTCGTAAAAATTCCCCCATCGCTTCGTTCACCGCCCAGCGATAGATTGGCTTCAAACAAATAATAATATAAAGCTCCATTCACGTGTCAATCGGGAGAGGACCGCCGACGATCGGAAGCACGTACCTCGAGCCGACCTAAACTCAATGCACAATCAAATCACGATTTTAACACTTGATTTTGTTCCTTGCAGTGAGAAAAGAAATGAATAACTCGTTCCGCCATGCTCGCGAATAGATGGACTCACGTCGATTTTAAGATTCGCTATTTTAACCGTCGAAAGATATTGCGAGGTTTCAAGGATCGAGAACTTAACACAATTTGCAATATGTACTGAGGGTTATGTTTGTAGCTTTCTTACCTTGAGATATCGAATCCACTTGTTTTCCACGCATTTCAGATTCAACTTATGCATAATTTACATTAAAAATATACAAACATGATGCAAGCGATTTTAACAGAGTCAAGAAAAACTATATATATAATATAATATATATATATAATAATAATACTATATATGTAATAAAAATGCACGGAAATGCGAGAAATGCTAACGACACGAATAAAGCTGTAGCGTTCGAAATTAGTAATGGCCGCTTCCCCGTTGATCGCTCTGAAGTGAAGCGCAGCAAAACGATATGATCTATCTAACAAAAATCGATATAAAATCAATTTACAATTGTGAATCGATATAAAATTTACGGAAATGTATTTGATATGTATAATCCATTGGAACAATATCTGTATTTATTTGGGAGATAACGGTATTTTAGCATTGAGAATTGACTTTCAATAAAATAATATTGGTACATTACACAATCATATTAATTATAATTATTTTATTTAGTATAGTCCCTGTTATTAAAGTAACAATCTATAATTCATATCAATGTTATCAATGTTACCAAAGTGACAAATTTATATATTATTACAATTATTAGATTTATGTAAAGGAATTATATAACAATTGAGTCAGCTGAGAATCTCTCTTTCTCTCTCTCTTTCTCTCATTATATAATACAAACAGTTCCATAAGTCGAGATGTCGATAATTCGAAACTGTCATCTCCTGATAGCTTTAGTTTCTTCAACCTCGGACATAGACCGCCATCTAACAAGGATTGAGGAAATTAACAAATACCGGCCTGCTGTTGTCCCGTGCTCTGCTGTAACTTATAAAAAGTGAACCTGCAAAGCGGTTACTCGATTCTTACGATTCATTAAAAGGTGCAAAATTCACTAGTTTAAAAATGGAAGACGAAAGCGACCAAGAGAATACGATTGAGGATGATTACTACACCTTCCTAAATATCCCAAGAAACGTGAGAATGTTTGTCAATTTGTTATAGAATTTCTGAGAATTCCGGTTCTATGGGAGGTAGAAAACAGTTTTGGCCCTCCACGTGGACTGTCGTTTTTTTAACGCTGATGTAATGCGACTAATTTTGCAGGAACTTGATTCTTTTTTACGATTAAACTGTAACGTTTGATTGAAATCGTGAATATCAATCACAAATCTAGAAACACTGATAGTGTCAGTTCAGCATTGCCAAATTTTATGCCTGGATTATTTTATTTGCTATAACATATATGCTATAATATATTTTCTCTGTTTAATATTATAGAAATATCGGTAACGGATATTGTTTTCTACTCAAATCTCTGTTCTCTCTTTTATGAAATTTATGCATATAAATGATGCAATTAACTAAGACTGGTTACATGCTCCCTTTCATGATGATATATTTTATTGCTCCAGGCTAGTCCTGAAGATATTAGCAATGCATATCGTAGACAAAGTAAGCTTTATCACCCTGACAAACATACAGATCCAACGCTTAAGAAGGAAGCAGAGATTCTTTTCAATCGTACCAAGAAAGCGTATGAAGGTTGGTGCATAATTGGATATTGATATTCATATTTGTTTGTTCCAGAAAGATCAGTTGTTTAAAATTATCATTTCATTGTATTATAGCAAAAACCTTGAAATTGATACATAGTTAACTATGTATCATTTCATTCATATCATTATAAACCGATGATTGCTTTGAGTATTTATATATAGATTTCAATATAGGTCATTGTAATTATGTATGTATTATTATATACTGTTTTTACTGACTTGTTTAATTGTGCAAACATTTGGAAATAATATGTAATGTTATAGTATTGAGTGATCCACATCAGAGGGCAATTTATGATTCACTGGGAATCCGTGGATTAGAAACAGAAGGATGGGAAATTGTACAACGTACTAAGACACCTCAGGAGATTCGGGAGGAATATGAGAGGCTGGCTAGGGAAAGAGAAGAAAGACGTTTGCAACAACGCACAAATCCTAAAGGCACTGTAACAGTAAACATCAATGCCACTGATCTTTTCAGTAAATACGATGAAGATTACAGTGATAAGTAAGATCAAACTTTGAATTACTATGAAAAGAAAATCAGTAATAATGATAAAGTTTTATATGACTGGAAACTTTGAATTATGTTCTAGCAGTGGGTTCTTCTCGTGCATCGAAGTTAGCGGAATGTCGTTTGCGCAATCTATTGAAGCACCACTCACATTGAGAGACACGATAACCATGTCGGGGCAACTTGGTACACAAAACGGCACAGGCTCCGGGTCGATCAATGTCTCGGCGAAACGTTTAATATCTTCGAAAGGTTGGGTCGAAGTCGAGGTCGGAGCTGGTAACGGTCCGACGTTTTCGCTCAAAGGATTTCGCACATTAACGAAAAGATTATTCTGCGATGGAGCGACAATACTGCAATTTACATCGCACGGCATGAAAGCTGGCTACGTAGGAAGTATGTTCATTTGTGAATATATCATTCCGACTGCCATCGAAATATTACATACTTGATCCGTATATTTTATTCGCACACATTTTTTGGCAAATCTATTTTTAACTTAAACAAGTACATGTGTGATTTTAACAAGTATGAAAGGTATATGTCTTAAATATATATGATGTATTCATTGACTAAGATAAAATCAAAAGCTTTCAGTCGAAATATTTTAACCCTCGCGATATTAACGGTTCTAGCAAGAACGAGGGTTCAACTTGATCCAAATACCGTTTGGCGAGGGTTAAAATAGAGAAAACAGAAGTATTAGCATCATTGGAGATCATATAAGTTTATTTACAGCTCTTGCAATGCAGTTGGACAAGCATACAGTGGGATACCTCACTTATAGAGCTGGTATACAGGATGCTATGAGCACCATGGTGGTGAGAGATACATCCCGATCGTACACTGCGATCTCCATACATTTTGGACTTATACATTCTTTCATCAGTCTTAATTACACCTACAAAATGGAAGAGAAACAGCTCAGGCTTCGTAGTAGTGTCAAGTTAGTATTGCCGAGAAATATTTTGTTTGCAGTATACATCTTTTCGTTTCCAGAGATATATATAATTTACGTATAATCGACTTTATTATAATTCGTATAGGGCTGGTACTTTTGGTGCGTTTCTTGAATATGGTGTGGAAAAAAAGGTCTCCCAACATAGCTCGGTTTCGGCAGCTGTACGTGTCGGTGTACCGACTGGCGTTACCTTGAAAATTAGACTGAGTCGTGCCTCACAAGCATACACATTTCCAATCCATCTGTGCGACGAGATTCTTCCAGCTCCTGTTTTTTATGCCACTGTAGTTCCCATTGTAACATGGACGGTTATTAAAAAGCTCATAATCGATCCGGTAGTGAAAGAGCGAAAAGAACGCGAGAAGGAAAAGCAGAAAGAGATGTACAAGTCTAGAATATTGGAGAAACAAAGAGAAGCCAAAGCTGCCATTGAACTCATGAAAGAAACTGTTAGTAGAATAAGAGCTGAAGAGGAATCTAAAAAAGGATTAATCATTACCAAAGCTCTGTACGGTCGATTCGTTTATCCTCAGCAAGATAGATCTAATTTGGAAGAGAGCGGACATAGAGATGAGATGATAGACGTGACGATTCCGTTACAATGTTTAGTCAAAGATTCCAAATTGATTCTTCATAAAGCATCCAAGGTATTAGATACTCTAATCGTATTCGATTCTATATTTTAATTGCATACAGATTTAAGATATTAATTCACTTTGCTAATTTGTTTTAAATAACATTAACTGTAACCCCATTATAGAGTCAACTACCTGGCTTTTATGATCCATGTGTGGGAGAAGATAAACAGCTTTTGGTACAATATCTTTTCCATACTCAAACACATGAATGTATTATACGAGACGATGCACCTCTCAGGATACCAGTTTCATGTAAGAATTCATTTTTATTTATTTGTTCTTTTAAAATAAAAAAAACTACAGCAACACCTCAGTGTTAAATATAAAAACATAATGGCATATACTGTATGTGTTAGCTGTCTTAATATCGTTCTTATCTTTTTATTTAATATTTTGATTTGTCTCTTGTATGATTCTCTCTTGTATGTTTTAGCGCATAAAGTGAACACTACCTGACATATGCGATCAACATTAAAAACGAAACGCAGTCGTCGCAATCCTCATAAGTGATTGGCATATTATTGCAGTGTAGATTGTTATCTCTTAGAGATTTAATTTTACATAGAAAATGGAAAATACCGAGTGTTCGTTTATTCTTTGTACATTAGTATTGTCTTCTCAGTAAACTGATATTTAATTATTTGGAAATAGTCATGTAATTTAAAATGTGAAGGAACACATAGAAACATACATGTTTTATTGTACTGCATTAGAATAGATATGTGTGTTTCTTTCATAATCTTTTTAAAAGGTATATGTAATATAAAATTTAAAATTCTTCATATGCATATATATGTATTAATTTTAAATTGTATGCCATTTCCAATAATAATATTGTTTAAGATACCTTGCTAAAAGGACAAAACATAGTCAACCTAAATACAAATCTATACTGCCTATAGAAATATTAATAATTCTATATATAAAATAGATATACATATATATTATTCCAAAGTCATATTGATCATTTTACAATTCATTAACGTAGTTGAAGATACGAATCTGTCTATTGCTGCATACCTGGGTCTGAAGTAGGTATACAATTTGCATGTTGTGTATAAGACCATTTGTTAATTAGTCACAACCAATTACTAGTGTAATTAAAAGAAGTAATATATTACGAGATGAAATCATATAAAATGGTTATTGATTTAAATAATGTTCCTGTATGTAATTATATATATACATATTTTGTGGAACGTATAAGATATATTTGTGTATGTATCTATTAAACAAATTACAACTAAGTCGATATTGAATCATCAAATAAACTTGCTTCTTAAATTACACACGATAAAAACATACTTTCTTGAATTAAGAGTTATTTTAATAACATTCTTTTATATAAAAATTTTTTATTCTGATATAATTTGTACTTTCCAAGATAAAATAATTCTATTATAATTCTAATAAATTCATTATGTGCTTGTGTTTAACATAATATTATGCAGAAGAGAATTTGTAATTGCATTGTTAGGTAAGAATTTATTAAATATATCTAATTCATCATCTTTTCTCTGTAATTGAGATAATGGAGTCCATGAATGATCATGTTCTAATCTGAAGGAACCTTTATAACTTTGAGATGGTGCAGAATTACCCCATTCCTATATAAGACAGGTAATAGATTATATCAAATTAAATTATCATATAAAAATATTACTTACCTCTGGACTAATCATAGAGAAATAAAGTTGTCCTGATTCTCGTTGATATAAATGATATACATGACCAGGTTGTTTTATAAAATTACAAGCAACATGATGTAACTTTGCATTTCGTTCTGCTTCCAACAAAATCCCTTCAGCTTGCTTTTGCAGAAATTTTATCTGTTCTGCAATCACTTGTAACTTATTGCATGCATTAGCTTTTATACAGCTATCAGCCTATAGAAAAAGAATATTATAAAATATAGCAACTGTGTTAATAAGATATAATTAAAGAATTCAGTCAAAAGAAAATTACAAATATTATACAATTATTTTCTACTACCTTCTGTATTTCTGCTACCAATGCCATTAAATCTTGCTGATTTGATTTAGCTACAGCAGTCGGATCTACTAATAGTATACCTTGTGGCATAATATTTCGTTCTACTAAAGCTATTGCTGTAATGTACAAATTGTATTGTTAGTGAATAAATATTATAATAATATAGAAAATTATCAAAAATTATAAGATCCATTAAACATCTCAAAATATTCTAGTTAATATTAATATAATTAATATTACATATGGAAAATAAAAATCTCTAAAACATTTAAGGTTATTTTGGTTGTACCTTTAGTTGAAGTAGTCTGTAAACCAACTACTGTATCCATTGCATCATTATTATCCATCGTATAGACAATGTAAATGAATTATTATCGTAAATATTTATTATTATTGTAAATTAATATACAATCGAAAATAAATCATTTTAAAAACTATTCAACTAAATAATTTCCGTTAAAAAAGTAACACAGCACGTTAGAAAATAGGAGCAAATAGTTCTTAATTTTTTAATAGTACATTTCTTCCTTATGGCTTCTACACACAGGACGCGGCAGCGCGTCAACGCGGCAACGCATTGACCAATCACAGTCTTTCTTTTCGAGAGATATGAGTTATATAACTGTAAAAGAAAGATTCTGATTGGTCAACGCGTTGCCTCGTGCGCGCTGCCGCGTCTGTGTGTAGAAGCCATTAAAGCCAGCGGCACACGGTGCTTGTTTTCGTGCTGGGTTGCTTGCTGGATGAAAATACTGCGTTCTGATTGGTACTTTTCCGAAGATGGATGGAAATGCACCAATTAGAACGCAGTATTTTCATCCAGCAAGCAATCCAGCACGAAAACAAGTACCGTGTGCCGCTGGCTTAAGCTTTACTGGCTGCGTTCAGAAAACACGACGGTTACACAACGGGTGCATTCAGTACTACAACCGCTCACTGAGCGCTCAATGAGCTTTTACATTTGATTGGTATATTCCTTTAGATTTAAAAATATACACCAATCAGATGCAAGAGCTCACTTAGCACTCAATGAGCGGTTGTAGTACTGAATGCACCCAATGATTGAGTAATTCGTCAACGTTATTGGTCTGAATGTAAAGATCTAACAGTAAGGACCAATAGTTAACCGCTTAGTGGCGTTTTGTTTTCTGAACGCAACCATCTTTTTCTATACTTGATAAACTCCTGCTCCATCTAGTTGCCATCTATTTGATATTGAGATATACAAGTTAAGTTAGCTCGGATTAGGTTATATTAAATTTCATACTTGATCGTATGGTGATCTTAGTGATCAAGTGAATAATAAATAATCAACAAAGTATTGCATCTGCTATATAAAATGCTAAATATATAAATCGAGTGTTTTCTATTGTAGTTACTGTGTATAAACATCTTTTGTTTATACACTTCTCTGTAATAAGACAGGTGGACGCGCATTGTTAAACTACATTGTCGTACGAAGTACTTGGAATGGATTATGCAACGATTGTCGATCAAGCTGTCAAGGAATTTTATTCAGCAGGTAGCAATGAAGCTCATTCGTGGCTCTTACAAGCACAAGTCTCCCCGGAAGCTTGGAAATTCGTATGGGAACTTTTGGATCCTTCCAAGGTCTGTACATGAATGCGTCATATATAGTCTCTGTTTGAAGATAGTGCACTCTTCTATATTTTTTCACTTTTTCATCAAATTTTTGTTTTGCAATAAATATTGCAATCAGATACTCGAAAAAAGCAGTTATAGCTAAACAATTATTACATTACTAAATATACAGTATAGTAGTAAATATGTACTATATTTACAGTCAGCAGAAGTTCAATTTTTTGCGGCAACAACTTTGCACACAAAAATAATTAAGCAATGGGATGAAGTACCTGAACATGACTATCCGATGTTAAGGGATTATTTGGTGAAGAGCCTAAAACAGCCCAATACCCCAAAATTTGTTCTTTTAAAACTTTGTCAAGCGGTAATATTTTTTTGTTTTTATATTATATATGTCCACATATATATATATGTATTTTTTTTTAATATAGGAAAATAATAAATTATAAATGATTCTCTTTGTACATAATTTAATAGTCACTAATTATCGTTAATTTTAGTTTGCTGCATTTATGGTGAACAGTTACAATATAGAGAAGATAGAAGAGGATGCAAGTATAGTTGATGACCTATTTAATGCTTTAACTCCAACTAATTCTCCATCTATGCTAGAATTATTACTACGGGTACTTTCATTGCTTCCTACTGAGGTATGTACAAAATATATATAAGATTATGCTATATAATTTAGTTTTGTAGTAATAATAATCTTTTTCATTGCATTTTAGTGCGATAGGAGACGACAAACGCGTGGCAATTCACAAATTTTAGTCAAAAGTTGGCCTAAAATTTTATGCTGCTTACGATTGGTTTTTTCGTCGTATGATACAATTGCATTGTTGTTGCCACCAACGTTTATGATTCTGACTTTAGAATGCACTCTAGCTTGGTTTAAGATGGACAAATTGCCATTGGAAGCTATTGGTCAAATTTATTCTGATCTACTAATTATGGCAACTCACTATGCACCTAATAGGTACGTATTTATTCTTATTAGATATTAAGGAAGAAATTGTAATATAGAACTTTTACTAAACTTGTTATATATGTTATATATGTATATAGAATGATATAAGAAACTATAGATATAAATTTACAATGAAACATCAACTGTTTATTTTTTGCAAGGTCTTCAAACTTATGTACCGACCCTGAGCAGGAGCGTGGTTGGGATATAGTGCAAGAGTGCTTGATCACAATAGTGACACATCGTGATCTAAAAAGATGGACACATACCCTTTGGGAATGGGCCAAGGCTTTGACAATAACGGCAAAAGAACATGATACCAAATATTTCTGCGAAGTGTTAACTGCTATGGGGGAGGCTCACAGTCGCGAGTTTCTGATTGCTCTAGCTGGCGGTAGTAATGATTTGACTCATAAACAGACAGCTACGAATTTGATCGAGCTACTGTTGGAATGTACATCCCAGCCAGGTCGTTACCCGACGGATGAAACTCGTAGTTGCATCCCATTTGGATTCTGGTATGCGTTACAGGACGATTTAGGCACGTTGGATCAGCCACTCGAGAAATGGGCTTTGTTAGCGTTGAAGCCCATTTACATCCGGCTGGCTGAGGCGTTGCTGGAGAAATCGGCTCTTCCATGCCGGCAAGAGTTGAGCAACGCAAACGAGAGCGAGTTACTTAGATGTTACAGGCAAGACGTGGCGGACACTTTAGACTACTGCTACAAAGTTCTCCAAGAAGACCTGTTGAAAATGGTTCTGGAAAGATTAGCCCGGGCGATGTGTGATAATAAAAATTGGACCGACATTGAAGCGTCGTTGCACGCATTTAAAGCACTGGCTGAATCTGTCGGCAATAGAAATGTTCGTTACGTCCCGGAGATGATATTCGCAATTCTTTCTTATATACCTTACGATCGTTATCCTCCGGAGGTACGTACAATTATCGTGCGCGATCGTGCGGATAATCGGCATTAGAAAAAAAAATTGCATATAATGTATTTTGTTATTTTCATTCTTTCTCGTATATATCAGGAGTCTATTGCTACTCTATCATTTCTGTTATTTTCATATACACTAATTATCAGCGAATTGTAGTGTGTCATAATATGGTACTCATAAGAGACAATTTGTTTGGTACGCAGGTAATGGCGTGTGCTTGCTCGGCACTTGGCTCATTCGCCGAGTGGATTGGGGAACATCCCGAGCGCAGGCTGAAAGAAGTGCTGCAATTCATCACGCTAGGACTCACAAAAGGCCCCGAAGTCGCACCTTTCGCGAGTATGGCATTGAGAGATATCGTAAGAGAATCCGGTAATCATCTTGCGCCGTTTGCGCCGTCCATTCTCAACACTATCAGACAAACTCTGCTGAATGTCGCGCCTGGTAGCGGAGAGACCTTACGGCTTATGTATGCGGCCGGAAAGGTACTCAACACATTACCTACTGTGGAATTACAAATGACGTATCTCGACGCGACGCTAGGCCTGTGCATAGTGAAGTTGAAGGAGTTATTGGAGCAACCGCTGTTCGTGGCGCGGCTCGACGTGACAAATCACCTAAAAATGATTCTCGCGTGTCTCAGTACTCTCGATGGCACGATCGGTAAGGCCGTGTTGGACGGCTTGATACCAGTGTTTCATCAGATCATCGCGCATCCCGAATGGAGTCAAGACAATGCCACATTGGAGGGAATGTATTTGTGCGCTCAACGATCCGTATCGTCGCTCGTGCACCCGGAGACAGATGCACGGCCGTTACTGTCGATCTTGACGACATCTTATAAGACGTGGCCGCACCCGGAAGCATTGAATCTACTGCGTCAATTGATAGTGTTGTTCGCAAAAGATCAAGACAATATCATCGGCTCGGTTCTCGCCGAAATCAGCTCGATAACGCTGAGCGGCGTGAAGGCGTGCAGATCGGTACAGGGCGATCTGTCCGATTGGTCAGATCTGATGGAAGCATACCTAGGTGTACTTTCGCAAATTTGTAAGAAGAATATCAAGTTATTGTTGCAAATCCCAGAGCAAATCCCGGAAATGTTACAATGTGGTATGTGCATTAGTTGTACATTAATTGAGAAAATGTCTATGGAAGTTGGATTTGTCTAACGTCCACATCCAAGCAGACATTTAATTCTTCTTCTTTCTTTCGTGCATTCAGGGATTGCTTGTTTAACGCTGCCGGAATTTGCGACGGTGAAAATGGCCGGTAGTTTTCTCAATCACGCAATCGCACAAAGTCTGCACATGCAGACATTCATTCAACCGATTGGCCAGGAACTTGTCTCTGTAATCTTGCATCATCTCAGTAAGTGGGAACGGGTTCTGCGGAAATGCGTGAATTCATAAAATTTCACGAAACTGTTTGCTTGATTACTTATTTCTCTTCGTATTTTTATTAGGTGGAGTAATGCTTCATCATAATTTCGAACCTTACGCTGAAGTTCTATTGTCACTGAACAAAAACTGCATGGAGTGGCATGAGTTGTGGTTACGAATTGCGTTTGAGAGTCAAAGTGATATCGCAGCATTGCGAAAGGAATATATAACGCGCATCTTGCGCGAGAGATTGAAGCAACGACTTAGCGACGTGCTGAAGGAATTCAACTTGCGGTGTCGACAAAAAATAGGATCCTCAAATCCTCGGAATGACAGGACTTCCGATGTACTGACGTAAAATCAGTTTTACTCTATGAAGGGACCGACACAACATAATGTATGTAACACACATGCGAATATCAATATAATTTATCTCTTCATAATAAACGCTACATATTGTATATACTTGTACTCCATACGGGTTTTTTTGCATTTTTTTGAATCATGAAACATTCATTGATCACATGTAACGCGGTGCGATATAACGCGGTTACAATAAAGAAAATAAAAGAATGATCGAGGAGAAAAAAAATATATAATATATTTCCGATTCTTTTCCATCGAGTATAATCGTATATTAGTTGAAGTATTGGTAATTAATTTATCAGATTGTTAGAAAATGCAAAAATTAAAGCGAGAAACTAAAAGTTAAATAACAATTGTGTAAAATTGAACTGTGATTTATGTATCTAGCGATTTTCGTGCAATCATTTTGTTGTAGGTAAAATAAAAGTATTTTTGTTGGATATTGTGCTATTTAATTTTGATTTGTTCTTTGCTGTTTGTAATACAGAAAGAAGGAACACAGAAAAGATCGTCGGAGATAGATTACACATCTTTCTACTTACATGCTTAATTAATATCACTTTCTCCATGTTCACATAGGTTACTTGCCTAATGTTATTCCACGTCAACATGTACATGTATTACAATAAAAATCGATTTCTTCCTTTTCTAATATACATTGCGTGATAAAATAGAATATCCTGGATCCAATATATTATTGTGAATTGAAATATTTCTCGAAAAGACGACTTGAGGAAAAGATAGATAAATAGTGCAAAGCAAGGAGAAATTATTTCATCTTTCTTAACCAAATAAACTGATCCTCGTACATGTGTTTAATACAATAAAAACAATAAATGATACATATATATGTATGTATGTATATATATATATATATATATATATATATATAATATATATATATCATGTAAAATATATTATTAATCTTGATAATATACTTTTACTCTTTTTGTATACAGCTCTCTATTAAATTGTAATATAAAAAAATCGCTAATCAAGAATATATCATAAAAAAATAATATTCATATTTAAGGAATAATCTCAAAATATTTATCAATCGTAAGTTGTTTCAATAAATTACGATAAAATTGAAAAAAAATATTAATCTATGTAAATGAAAATACGTCAGTACATTGTGGATTGTACAAAAGACAAAGTAAATAGTAAAATAATCATTCTCACTTACAATAATGTCCTTTATGTTGTATATTATGTATATAAGTTCAGTGCGTGTATGTGTGTATGTGTATATACATTTCACTCCAGAAGTCTACATAACGATTCCTTCGTGTATGCGATCGTACATATAACAAGTACGAAAATTGTTTTCAGCGTGTGGACATAAAACCTTCGAAATCCGATGAAATACTGGCCCGATGGGGATCAAAGAAAAATCTGCACCTATTATTATAAAATGTAGAAAACGAGAGGGAGACAGGCGAAGAGTTGAAGTATGATGTATATATAGTTCACTTATATTTACATATAATCCGTGGAAGAGATCTACTCCCCCGTTGTGAATACCGAGTGAAGTAAAGCCTTCACTGGGGTTCATCGCCGTTCGGCAAAACTTGTGTGCCGAATTTCGCGGCAACGCGCGATCTCCTTGGCTTGGACGTTTTTGCCGTCGCACTCTGCGGTTGTTGTGATATTTGAGGCTCGCTTGGCTCTTTCTTCTTGATCTTATTTACAACTTCCGATGCTTCGTTCTGCATGCAAATGAGACATTTAATTATTATTATTATTATGTTTCAAATATCTATCTGTAATTGCGATAATGGTGTGGATGGGTGTGTATGTATGTGTGTGTGTGTGCGCGTGCGTGAGCACGCACATGCACTTGTATATATATGTATGTGTACATATATATATCTATTTGTAAACCTTGAGTAGTATTTTTTGAGTTTCTTCCTTTTTTGGATGTTGCTGTTGCTGCGTTTTGGAAGTAGGATTTTTTTTGGCGCTCGGACTCGTTTCTTTTGGAGTCTGCTTCACGCTGGCATTTCTATTCTTCTTCTGAGCCTGTAACGGAACAAACGCGGTGCTCTGTTTTACCTCTACTTTGGACTGGCTCGACAGAGGTTTTCCTTGCTGTTGTCTTCCTTGACTATACGACGCGGTTTGGATAAACCCTGGATTTGGTGGCAGTTTCTGATTCCATTTTGGGTAAAATAAGTTGGGCTGCATGTTTAAATTTTGTGGGATTGGTGGCATCTTCGGTGGACACATCGGCATCATAGGAGGCCGGATATTTTGGACCCAAGAGCTATTTTGTTGGCCGTTGTACCATTGTTGCTGAGGCGCCGGTATCATTTTCGTGTCGGGCGTTAATATCTTATCCAAATTTAACGTCTAGTAATAAAAATTACCTTAAGAATCTAATAACTTGTGGGATACTCTACTCTGCGAAAGAAATCTGTACAGAATTTTTCTTAAATATTTCCTGCTACCTTATATGTTTTCCTCGCGGCACTTTCCGCGGCTTGTTCATGAGTAGCGCAAGGATCGCCTCTAAAGCTTGAATCTTGCACCATAATCTGGCAGGTAATTAGACCAGTTTTTTCGTCGACAAAATAACTGTACTTTGGCATACCAATCCTGTGGCACGAGAAATGTTTCAATAATTGTGAACAATGCCAGATTGGACTTGTTTTTTCTTGTTTTCCCTCAACACGCCGAGCATGCTGCAAAAATATTCTATAATATACAAAAGTATTCAACGATCGATGATATATATTCTTACGAAATATACACACAACAAACACTGACAATGAGATCATTTTTTTTTTCCGAGTAAATTTATCCCAGAAGGAATAAATACTTGCATGTAGTTATTATTCTCAATTATTCATACATACGTCAAACCATTGTTGCACCAAAGGTGGAGGCGGATTCGATGTTCGGTCCATCTCAGCAATTGTTATTTTCTGGGACGTTCCCGTGGATTGTGACGTTGATTGATTACCTTGTTGCGTACTTGTCGGAGTCTGCTCGCCAGAAATTTTCAACATTGCTTTCAAGAATGCACTGGGATCCTGCGACTGCTGTGCGATCATTTTCCGAATGAAACAAGAATGAGCATTAGAATGGAACAAGTGGAAGAGTTTTCAATTTCTGACGCGAAACATTCAATGATACTCACCGATTGTATATTATTGTGATTATTGCCAAATGGCTCGACTGTTATCAGCGGACCCAATAATACTTTCTCCGACGGCGGCGGCGGCGGTAAACTCGACTTCTATCGTACATACCAAGGATCTGTGATTTACGAGATAAACTAACAAACAAGGCGAGTCTGTACAACTGCACTGACCTGCATCTTATGCAACTCGTTCCACAATGTTTGAAATTCGGACGACTGATTTGATGAAGACGCGTTCTGCGACGGTACTTTGCTGGGCGTCGTTATCGTTTTCTTGCACAGCTCCATTTTCGATAGTATATCTTGATTCAATTTCTCAAGACCCTTCTTGGCGAGACACATCTGCGGGGACACCTTCGGCGACTGACGGATGTTCCTTTTCGGTGAACTGGCATTAGCCATTTGTCGCCAGTTTTCTGTCGGTTCGTTTATTGAATTCCCGTGTTCAATTCTCTCGCCGTGGCTAATGTTCAGGAAATCTGTGATCGCCAGGCGATATCCGCGCGATTCGGAACAACCATTGATCGAGAAACCGCCTGTAATGTTCGCACAGATGCAAAATGCAGAAATATGCGCAACTCACGATCACGTAAAAAGCTTGTATTCTTTGTTTTGCAACAGATGAGTTAGATTTTTACAATCCGACATTCGAAACTTTCCCAAAGCGACGAATTATTCCAAAGCGCGATGATTACCTATGAAAGGCTGGTCGAATAACACGTCGAACATCGTGTCCACTTGGATGTTCGCCTTCTGTATTCCTATAATAGTGCCTTTAGCTCCGATCGGTACGGTGAAGCCTCTTCGAACGCAGCGAATACGGTCCAATAAACGATGCAGGGCATGTGGATCAGGAGGTACCATGTTGCGAAAATGTAATTCCGGCTTAAAAAGCAAGTGCGGCTTCACCTGCATCGTCACAGTTTTGCTGTTAGCACTCTGCGTGTTCAGGTACTGCTTCAATTCCTCCTCCATCTGCTGTACTACTTCCGTGTCAACGGCTTCTATTCCGCAAGCGCGGCTCTCTATATCACGTAGTTCCATTTTCAGCCAAGCGACTATATTTTCCAGCTCGTCCGATCTACGACGATATTGCAAAGCGTTTATTATTTTATTATATTACACGTGCGTACATAAATTAAACGATTTGCCGATGTGATTTGCCGTGCGTACTTTTTGTCAAATAATTCCTCTTCTTGAAATATATCATTCGTCACATTTACCGCTAAGCGTTCAAACAAGTTGGGACATTTGACCATGTAACTGCGGATCAGTTCAATTGCCCTTATACTGTACAACCATTGGCTGTTTTCCTTCTTAGTGTAACCAGGTACCTTTAAAAATATATCGAAGGATATGCAAATGAACATGTAACCCTAGCATATAATAGCGGTAGCTGCTGTAATCGCGTTATGAAAAATGCGTTGAACTTAAATTGGTATCTTCCTTACCTCTTCATTTTTCTTGTTAAATTTCAAATTCAATCCGATATTAAGTTTCGTAACCTCCAACTCATTTGATGTCCGTATAACGTAAATTGTGCCAGTGATTCTGCTCAAGAGATGACTACTTATCCCAAGACGTTGCGCGGCGATACTACCATGCATGTATCGTGTCTTCTGTTGAGCATGAATTTGTTTAACGATCTCAAACGTTGGCTCTTTCGTAACCGTCATGGAGATTTGGATTCTGTGCTGCTTCGTATTGTCCGTACCATGTGGCAAGACCTGTTCATATTCGGAAAAGCTTCTTTAAATAAAACCACGTCCTCTCGCGATGGGTATCTTACATAAACTCCGTGTTAATATTTGCCAAATTTTACTTATTATTTCGAATAACTTATCAACTCCGCTCGTTGCTACATGCATGCAACGACCATTTCAACGCAAGAGAAGCAACTGTACCTCTCCTATCGCACTGTAGTGCGGGTAGCCCAGCATGAAACAAATGCTTCCTGGTACGAAAATGTCGTACATACTCTTGTAGAGCGGTTCGCTCTTGTAATAAACGGGAATGTTCCTGACTACCGTCTGATAAGCATACGGCACGGCCAACTTGGCCCACTGTTTCTCGAGTGTCAGTTCTCCATTGGTATTGAAAACGTACTTGGTACTTAGGAGAGGACGAGCGTAGAGCAGTATGTCCGTATGGCCTATAGATATCCCAAGACGAGACATATATCTAGAAGCAAACGCATATAAGTTATAGTATGACTTCCACTGTTATCACGTTTGTTGATCGCAGGCAGCGCAAATTCTATCTTACGTCTCACTGATATGTTTCTTTTGTATATTCCATTCCGTGGTTGACACGTCTTCTTTGCTCACATTGTCGTGACTGTAATCGACCAGTGCCTCGATTAAAGTGAACTTTACGTTATTATTAGACACACCGATCACGAGGGCCTCCTTCAAGTAAGGCCAATTAACGTACACGATCTTCCCTAATAGTTGCGGCGCTAAGTTTTCCAAATCCTGTGGACTATTCTGTTCCAATATATGCAAAATCATATTTTCTACTCGTGATGGTTGTTGGAATACTTTCACCTGCAAAGGTATTCTGTATGAAACAAGCTGCTGAGAGTCGAAGATCAAGGTAGGAATTTAACGACTGACATACATCTGCTTTTGTTAGACTCGCCGTATGAGGTATATGCTGCAACTTAGGAAATCCAGGATAATAAACGTTTATGTCGAAACCCGGGGACAAGCCTCGGATTAATTGCTCTTTTGGTAAGAAAATGTCATCGCGACTTATCAATGTTACTTGAGCGTGATTAATTATTTTCGAGAAGTGTGATGTAGCTTCGCAAACACCTAAATCTTCATCAGTATACGAATATAAACGCATTTGCCCGTGCGCATTTCGTTGCTTTTCCTCCGGTGTTAGCTTTGACAAGTGTGGCTGCATAGCTAAACATAGACGAGCATAGTGGAAAGATTTAGTTTTGCTTCTTGTAAGTTCTATTTTCATAAAAAAAAGCTTTCATTGATATTTTAAATGTACCAATGAAATGGGAGTTTGTTAAGATATATATGTATCGAGTATTTCATGTCAATCTCCAAATCTACTGGATACAGAGGTAGATATTACGCACCAGCCAACAATAATTTCTCATCAATGAATGGAATAAGTACAACTGCTTCCCATTCTTGCTGTTTACCATTTAAATCGGTCTTAAAATCAGTTGGATAGTAACTGATAATGGGAGAATCCTTTTCTACCAATAACGATTGAAACGTTACCGGTAATAGGTCCTTGCTATATGCTGGTAACACAGCCAGCAATTGCTCAAAAGGTAAGAATGGTTCTCCCAATTCAAATTCCAGCTTTAAATCCTTGAAGTCTTTTATGTCTGAAATGTACGGGGCATAATGATGTGGATAATACCACGACCAACTACAACAACCGTTATAATAATAATGTAAATTCCATTGTATCGCTCTCACATAACCCTCTGCTTGTGAACGTAAAAAGTCCCTGAAATGAACATAATTGATGAGCATATATATTATGGTTCTGCAGATCTCTCGTGCAAAATCGTAATTTATAAAATGCACACTCACGCGTCAACATTTTTGTACTCTAACTTGTTCATATAATAATCTCTTTTATGCTGTACAAATTCCATATGATATATATCACTGTCTGATTCATCGTCCATCATATCCAAATCATCATCTTCGTCAGAGTGTCCTAAGGACTGTATTAAACATTAATTGTATTAAGTCATTTATCATTTTCATGTAATTTGTTAAAAAGCATCTCAAATAAATACCATCTCTGCAGTGGACTTAATTAAAGCGTCTAAATCTTTATTTTGTATTTTTTTAGGAGATGTTGCTTCTCCATCTTCCGATTTCTTATATATATGACGTTCAAATTCATTAGGCTTTCTACCTGTTTTACTTTCAAAATACTTTAAGTCAGCATAATGTTCGTTAAACTGCTTTACATCTAAACGACTTAGTCTCTCCATAAACTTCTCAAATCGGTTCAGATTTAATGTTCCCGTTTCGTTTATATAACCTAAAGCATAATTATACATTAAGTTTATATAACAACATAGACGTGGGTTTCATGAATTTGTCGCTAATTGACAGTGTATACCTTCAAACGTTGGCAATACTTCCATGTATGCACGGTACAGAATTGGCAGTGCACCACTGGTAATATGTAAATTTGGCAAGTGGGGAATAAAATCATTTCCCACAAGGAATCCCATTAAAACCCAATCGTCAATTATTTTCTCAATGTCATATGGAAAAGATATCTTGTCTTTGACCGGCGAGAACTCATGATCTATATATTCTCGTAAGAGTGACAAATGAAGGAGACAGAACTTTGTCTCTTCAGGAGTCTGAATCTTCTTTTGCTTCTTACCAAACTTAACTTCCTCTCTCAAAAGGGAGAAATTTGGCTCATGGGAGCACAAACCTAACATTATTAAATCAGCATCTAGACCATATAAACAATGTCTAGAGTTAAAGTCATAATCTTTACTAGCTTTCATATGTCTTATAAAATCCATAATTTTGTGTTCTCCCTCTCCAGGGACCTAAAATAGATTTAGTCTGCTGTAGCATTGAAATCTAATCTGATACAGTGACAGATCCATATTTTAATATTTTCCCTAAGATGGGGAATATATTTGTTTTCTTTATATTAAAATATCAAGATAAAGTTACCTCAGAGCCACTGAATAATACTTTACATTTTTTCCAAGTATCATCTATAGAAATTTTATGTACAATAAAACGATTGAGCCGCCTAGTGAGTTCGGCCATAAAGAAGGTTCCTGGGGTTATGCAGTTTGAGTCAAATTTCTTTTCTGTAGGTATCACAAGACCGTGTATTTTAGCATTAGCCTCTTGTACTTCAGCATCTTTGGCGGTTCTAAATCGCCGACTTCTTTGTTGATTAATTTTAGCTCTAGGAGCTACTCCATCTATTGCCATAAAAAACAACTTTTGTGGCCGTATCATGTTAAATAGTACTTCTATATAGTGGAATATGTTATTAAAAATGGTATCCTCAGAGATACGAAAGTGAACGTCACTGTCATTTGGATGTGAACATGCATGTACGATACCATTCATATCTAAGTATAAATAATCAAATTCTGGCATCTGAAACAGATGGAAAATAATCGTCTGACAACTGTTGCAAAATATTGGAAAACTATTCTACTGATTTGTGACATTGAAGATTTAAGTAGAAATATGATGAAACATTTGAAGCTGAAGTGAAAAAAGAAGTTTTAACGACATACACATGATAGTATGTGCGATAAAAAAATAATGAAGAGATAGGAAATCAGTAAACAAGGACAAGGAAGAGACTCTGGCCGTGCAAAGATTATGGTTTTTTTTCTCTGTCAAATACCTGATATTCCTTGATCGTCTCGCTCAGACAAGGATGCCTCTCGCTTATGTATCTGAAGAATTTCGGGACACCCATCTTGAGATACGCGTTTTATCACCGAGATAAAATGACTCGACTGTGTTCTATTGCGCGTCCCTTTCTTCGGATAATCGTTCTATCAAAATTAAAGGTTCGGTTGTAAAGCGCAACACAGTGACCCTGCTTCAATGTTACAGCACCATGAATTACTGGCTGTAACAAAGATGAACCAACGAGACCGGAAATTTCGTACCTAGCGTCGCATAAAGCTACCGTTTCTATGTCATAAAAGAGAAGCTGACGAGATTATAAAAAATTGACGCAAAAATTAGGCCTGGTCTACAATACGTGTTGTAAGCTGTAAGCCGTAAGAACTGACCAATTATAGCCGATTATTTTTGTAATAATCGACTGTGATTCGCCAATACTTACGGCTTACAACTTACGACACGTATTGTAGACCAGGCCTTAATCTGTTGCTTGTCGTATACTCATTGCTTGGCGTATAATATATCTTACGATTATTCCGGGTGTATATAATTCGACTTATGTGTCCTAAATCAAGACGAATCTGAAATATACAGCTTATATCCACAGTCTGCTCTCATATTTCAAATCTCTTGAATTCATCTTCAGATGATATACAGTCAATGAAATGATTCACACAACGCCTGAAGAAATGATCTTGAGATAATCTTAAAAGTAATCGCGCGTTTGGAAAACAGGGACCATAAAATGCAGAAAGCAGCCATGGCATCCGCGAATATGTGGACATGACTTAACTGTCAATGCGCGACGCGCGCTCAGATGACTCGGTCTCGTGGCGTGGTATTTAAATCAACTTTAAATTCGGTCAAACACACGCACAACGTACGAGAATCCTCACACCGGATACTGAGAGGAAATCGGTATTCAAGCTAGGAGAAATAGAGCAGGCGAATAGAGCAGAGGTGAAACAAGTTTCCCTGAAGTCGGCTCGAGCACGTAGCTCTCGCTCGGCCGACGCGTTATAGTTATGGTTTGAGGGACGCGTAAAATGCTACTGAGGAATTTCCCGTTCCAATGGATCTTGGTGTCGATCTTCATCGTCGTGATAATCTACCTGCGACTGCGAATATGCCAACTGGAGGAGAGCTACAGATCGCTGCGTACGTGTCATCATAACACAGCGAGAACGTAGCCTTGTTCTCGCGACTAGTGCACGCCCGTGTGCACTCGCTCACGATGCAAGGAATAACGTAGGTAATTCCTTCGTACTTCCAGACGATGCTGTCATGCAAGCGCAAATTGATATTAGGGACGAGACGCACGATTCCCTGGAGACAACACACGGCAATGGGGCTTTTGACGACATCGTCGTGATATATAACAGGGTGCCGAAAACTGCCTCCACTAGTTTCGTGGGACTAGTTTACGACTTGTGCAAGCAGAACAAATATCATGTGTTGCACATCAACGTGACCAATAATATGCACACTCTTACTCTCAACAATCAGGTGCATTCTTATGTCTGTTAATTATTTCAAATTTCTGTATTATGACTTTGAGAACTATACGTGAATACTATACTTTGCAAAATGGACTGCTAAAGTTACCTAATTGCATTTTATGTAGAAAATATGCATGTTACATTACTGGTTTAGTCTCATTTATATATATATTTTCTTTAAAATATAGAGCATAAGATTTTATAATTAATGGGAATATAATATATAGGTTCAATTTGCAAACAACATATCAAACTGGGACATTATCAAACCAGCATTTTACCATGGACATATGGCATTTTTAAATTTTGAGAAGTATAGAGAATAAAATTTAAGATTATTGTAAAATTAAATGAATACATGTAACTTAATATTTTTTTATTTTATAGATTTGGTATTAAACGTACACCTTTGTATATAAATTTATTGAGGAAACCTTTAGAGAGATTTGTATCTTATTATTACTTCTTGAGATATGGAGATAATTTTAGACCATATCTAGTAAGAAAGAAACATGGAGATACAAAGGTTTGTGTACTTATATGAAAAAAAAGCACAAAATGCATTTAATTGATTTGATTAATTTGATTTAGACATTTGACGAGTGCATAAATATTGGTCAACCTGACTGTGATCCAAATAATATGTGGCTGCAAATTCCATTTTTGTGTGGCCATGATCCAGCTTGCTGGCAAGTAAAATTCCTTTTTATACGTAACTTTATAAGCAACAAATGATCTAGGAAATAATTTCAACAAATTTCTATATTTATTGAGAGAATACTGCAATAATTACTTTGTGTTTGCACTTTATTATAGGGAAGTTGGTAATAGCTGGGCATTAGAAGAAGCCAAACGAAATTTACAAAAGCATTACTTCTTGGTTGGTGTGACAGAGGAGTTAAATGACTTTGTGGAAATATTGGAAAATGTATTACCACGATTCTTCAAAGGAGCATATAATTTCTTTTTGCATAGTAAGTGCATGATTACGAAGTTGAAAAATGTATTAAACGTGTCAGTGGATTGATTTCATTTAATTTTAATCACATTATCACAGTTGACAATACAATAGCAATGTTTTTTTCCTTAATTGCAGACAACAAATCACACTTACGACAAACTACTCAAAAACTCAACCCGTTACCCGAGACAGTGGAAAAGATTCAGCAGTCTGTTGTGTGGAGAATGGAAAACGAATTGTATAATTTCGCCCTGGAACACTTTCATGCTGTGAAGAGACGGCTCCTAAATGCTTCCCCTCAAGACGCAAATCAACGTTTTATGTATGAAAAGATACGGCCGAAATAAATCTACTTTTTTACATAAAACTTTACTTGAAGAGTAATACAACATTTCTCAAATCTGCTCATAATATATCCTATGGCAGGTGACTACTTAATGTATATTTAATATAATTAGTATGTAAGATAGTTTTTTTACAAACAAACAAAGCTTGTGGTATCAATATTGTGACTGAAATGAATTAGTTGTAAAATTGATTATATCACATTCGTTGTATTTATATTCGTGAGAAGACTAAACATGTAAAGATTGATCCCCTGGATATATTTGGGAGTAACGTTGTTTTATTAAACATTGCTTATCATCTTTTAATATGTTTGTGTTTTTATTCAACCACGAACGTAAACGATAGGGAAAATATTAATCAAGAATGCGGGGATTATCGCGATAATGAACATGAGCAAAGCATAATATTTACTTTTACAAGTTTTGCAGAATTGTAATTTAAAAGTCTTCATCTCATAAGTACTTTACAGAAAGAAAAGTAAATTTTAAAAAACTAAAATAATTTAAATATTGACCTAGCTCACATTTAAAATACGTTATATTAGAAGACGAAGTAATTGTATATTTGGTTCATATCTTATGCATCGTTGACTAATTCATTGCAGTAATTTGATGGTCTAAGAGCGAACATATAAACTGGATATAAACTGCGGGGAAATTTAGTCTGTTGTAGTTCTTTGACACAAATAAGATCAGCCTTTTCAAATAAAGATTGCAAGCTCTTCAATGATCTAGTTACAGAAGAGTCTTCCTTATCAATTTCCAAGTTATTTGATCTGGTGATATTTTCTTTTACTACAAGTATACCATTTTCTTTCAAGCCCAATCTATAAATTCCAATTATTAAATGACAAATTATATATTTTCCTTTTTTTATAGAAAAGTTGAATTAAGACTTACATGCATTTTTTGAAAAATTCAATCAGATGATCATCCTGTAGATGCCCTAACACCCATTGGCACCATATAACATCATACTTACTTGCCGTAGGGCAAAAGTTTTGCAGGCCTTAAAACAAGAATGTATTTGTAACCTCTGCTGTGTCTGGAATTTACAGATTGATTATCTCACCAATAGGATAATACTGTCCGATCCTTGAGGAATAATTTTCCAAAGAAATCTTTGCTACTTCAAGAAACTTTGGATTCTGTTCAACGAGATCCACATGTTTGAAGTGTTTTATCAATAAATTCTTAGTGATTCTGCCAATACCAGCACCGCAGTCCAAGGCAAACTTCTTGGCGGGTGCGTTTTCTAACTGAAACAGATTACAACAATTTAGCACGTTCATCCTGTGCAGAATATATAAGTTCACAGTCACAGCACCGGGTTTGCTCGTGTGAAAAGTTGGAGCATAAGTTATCGCAGTATCTACCCCGAAAAGAGATTTTAAGAAAACCGTGGAACCCTTTATGTCAGTCTGCGAGATAAATCCAAAACCGCCCAACATTCCGTCCACCGTGGGCGGAATACGGTCCCAGTATTTCGCGGCCGCAGTATAAAATTCAGCCTGACACGTATCATGTTGCTCCTGCATTTTCGCGTTTTGTCCGTGTGCGTTTTGCGACATTCTCAATTATTATTACATATAATTACGCGAATTCGTTGCTCACAAGATACTTTGTATTCTCGACACAATGAACACAAATGTGGCCCGAGACATGTTATAAAAAATACACGCAACTCCAACGTGATCCTCAAAGCAATGGATCATACGAAATGCATGTTTGATGACAACGGGTGACTGTCAACGACACTAACAGCACGTGGTGTCGATAAGACGTCAAGGAATATTATTAAACTAAATTAAAGGTAAATCAAAGTTAGACGATGGTCGACTGAAAAATCAATGTTCAATTTTTCTTTTTTTGTTAAAGGACTGAAATGTTTTTTAGATGTTTCCAAATTGACACTTTTATCTGTCTTTGCTAAATGAAGATAAAAATTTATTGAACTTATTGGATTGTATGTTATTGAAGAATAGTTTGTCTAATCCTTATTAAGTCATATTACATGAAAATGAGAATTTCTTCTTGCTCTCCTTTCAATCGTATATATTATTTGGGAAAGATTCTTTGACCCGCTGCTGAATCGTAATATTTAAAAATTAAAAGGTCGCGCGGCTAATCCGCTATTGAGCGTACTACTTGAAAGTAAAAGTTTGTCTACTCTGTCGTGGATTTGTACTACGACCTGATTTATGCCTGATTTGTAGGGAAATCAGAGTTACTACGACCTGACTTTTTCGGCCTAATTATGAATAGTGGCGACTCGTAGCGGAGACTTTGGAACACGTAAAAATAACGGGTTAAAATTTTTCCAAAACAAAGACCCGTTGGATATAATTGGTCCTTTTTCACCGATGTTTCATGATAACTCGTTTAGTTGCGCATCGACAAATTAGTGAGTGGGCTGTAATTCCAAAGCAGAGAGGAACGTGAGAGCGGCCAACACGGCGTTTTCGGCGACTCCAACTTTCCGCACTGTGAAATGGCGCCATCTGCATCCATTCTGAGAGGGGAACTACGATGCTACATCTATTTTTAGGTTTCGGCGGTAAAACCTACATGCACTGGCAGTCCGTACTACATCCATTTTCAGGCGGTTTATGTCCGTGCTACAACCATAAATAGCGTAATTGACAAACACGAGGCCTGTTCGTTTTGTCTGCACTGCTGAACTGATGCAACAAGTTAGAGTGAGAAAACCTATGTTTGTCTCACTTTAACTTATCGCACCAGTTCAGCAGTGCAGACAAAACGAACAGGCCTACGTCCTCGCACTTTGTTAATATCTCCGTTTCTATTGGGAATTGAAAGCCGAGCTTTATGGTGAGAATAAGATAGATATAGGACTATATTATGGTAAAAGCGTGTTCCTGTATCTTGAGCCGTTTAGGAGACAAAGGCCGGTTCCTGTATCATTCACCGTTTAGGAGATATCGAAGGTTAAAGTTTTTAAATTGTACTTTTAACATTTCCGTTTCTACTGGGAATTGAGAGTCGAGCTTTATGATGAGAATAGGGTTGATACAGGACTATATTGTTGCAAAAAAAAACAGGCCTGTATCTCTAGCCGTTCAGGAGATATCGAAGGTTAAAATTTTCCAACTTGTACCGTTGATATCTCCGCTTCTACTGGGAATTGAGAGTAGAAATTTATGCTGTGAATAGGGTTGATACAGTACTATATTTTTGCAAGAAAACAGCTGACATATAACATATGAGACACCAACTTGGGTGGTCTTCAAGGTAATTCAAATTCCAAACTTATTTAAACCCGAGAAATGTCGAATCATCAGCAAATTTAAACGAAGTACGTACGCAGTAAGCGATAGTGCATCGCGGCTTGAATGGAAATATAATCGCAGGTATTTGAAGCAACGAAGCGTGTTCCCTGAGAATTGTGTATTCGATTATTTGCATTTCGCGGTGTGTGTCAATTTCTATCGGAAGGCCTTTACTACTTGTGTAATTAAATATGTATGGGATGACATACATCTCTCCCAGTGGCAAGATAGCAAAGTATAATGAGTAGCACTTAAAGCCTGCAATTTGTTACACACTATCATGGATATCATGGAAGACAAACAAGTAATATATTTAGACGTGTCCTTCGAGTAACGTAATCTTCAAATCGAATACCACGAAGAATTTCCATCGCAATTAAATCGAATGAGGAAATTAATTAGTTATTCCTCAAGTGAAGAATATTATGAAACAATTTCCTTGATCGATAGAAAGTCATTTCGATAAGCACACGAAACGTATCGTACACGTAAAAGTTTCTTTTCTCGGTCGGCGTATCTCTCTAAGCAGAATCTAACAATCATACATGTGATATAGCCTTGATATATCGCCTTGATCATTACACGGTACTTTTAGATGATGCTTCAACAACCATGGCGAGCGTCATCGAGTATGACAAGTGGTTTTCGAAATCGACGCTATCGCTCGCGTGAGGGGAGAGGATCCAAAAGTAAGCGGGAGGACACCGCGCCGTTCTGTCAAGTGGCAAACGACATTGACACTCGATTGTTGGCCGTTTGCATAGACACTACGCTGTCTTATGGTTCCGGCTGTAACTAGTTTTCAGAGGTATGGCCTTTCGAATAATCTCCAGCAAAATCGATCGAATAAATCATCCGCTCCGACACCCGTGCCGATGAAGTAAACCGCCGCGATGAAGTAAAAGCAACGCTTGCCGAAGAAGCTCTCGAAAAACTACTCCAAAGAATGACCACGAACGTTTTTGAAAAGAGAAACTAACGATTGCTCTGGCCGACGTATTCTAATGCAGACGTTCGTCTAACGATCGCCGATGCACGTCCATGAAATGTTGCCTCGATTAACTTGATATTTTTTCAAACGAGGGCGGTCACCATTTAAACGTCCGCCCGATTAGTTTCTTTTTTCTTTCGCGTCACGGGACACGGCGGGTCGCGGCGTTCGCGAGGATCATCCATCGGGGCATGGAGGAATTTTTCGTAACGACGACGAGCGTCGATCGGTAGGGGGGATACAGAGAGGGCGAGGGGGACACGAAGGTAGAGGACGGTACCAGTGGCAATAGCAGCAGCAACAGCAGCACGGTGTGAAACCGTACGGCTGGTACAGCTTTACTACATGCACATCGCGGTATCGACAACGACGGCGATGACGGGACGGCCAGGTGGGAGGGCGCTTCTATCCCTGTGGAGGACCCGGCGCGTCCACCTGAGGATGATGCCCCGCTCGGGGTGGGAGGAATTTAGGTTACTCGTACCACTAGGGAATGTGGGCCGACTATATACCGGCTCATCGCGGCTGCTCGTCAGTTCATTCCTTCCCCGTATTTCCGATTCGTCGGATCCAGCCACGCACTCTCTCGACCCTCCGTTCCACTCGTCGAATACCCGTGGTCGCTGTCGTCGTCGTCGTCGTCGTCGTCGTCGTCGTCATTCGGTGCCGTAACTCGTCCTTAGGTAAGGTCCGAGTCCGTTGCACTCGGGCGGCCAGGTCAGGAAGAGGAGGAACTACCTTCCTTTGAAATCCCGCAGCATCCTCGAGGACCGCTTCCTCAGTAAGTACGACCATTTCCGTCCGACTGAGAAACTCTCGTGACTTTTCGCCACGAATATGCCGCGTACGTTTTCCCCGTCGAGGAGAGGCCTCAGGTAGAGGCCTTGATATCGGCGAGGTATCGAGATATCGCGGATACGAGGGACATAATTAGGGTCCTCAATTACGGAATTAGCGGAAATATGACACAATCGTTTACGAGCCTGGGGAAATTATTCTGCCTTTGTCGGAGCCTCCTCGGGACGGAAGAAGCGCGAGAACGCGGGGGAAGTAGACGTTGCAGCAACGATTTACGAGCGTTTGTTGGTCGACGCGACGCTCGAAAGTTGCCGCGATTCTTCGACGCACTACTCGGTCGGCTCTCGTTCCGCTCGCCGGTCGCCGTTGCGAGTTTCGATTTCCGAGGTCGTGTTCTCGGTAACCTGGTGAAGTAGATTAAGGCCAACGAACCTTACGGTCTGCAAAATGCAGCGACTACACGTAACACGGCTGATCGCGACTCCCAGCACGGACACCATTCCGCGGCGCAGCGTTCCGTCGTCGTCGTCGCCGTCGTCGTCGTCGTCGTCTCGTTCGAGCGACGGGCTTTCCGGATGAAAATTCCACGTCGGTTTTCGCTTCCGCGAGCAAACTCCCCAAGTACCGTTCCTCGTGCAACCCGTTTGACACTGAGTATCAAGTATCATCGCGCCTAGAGCGCTCAAACTGAAAGTCCGGCAAGGCCGAGCGCTAACATTTTCGCCGTGTAACATTTTCACAGAATCGAAAGCTGCAGTCGATATCCTCGGCATTATTAATTTCTGTGCAGTGAAAACGCACCTAAGCGCACATGCCTTATATAATTATGTTAATAATGGCTAGAAAGGCAGATGATATTATTATTTTCATCGACAACGGCCGAGAGGGAGACCCCCGGCGAAGAAAGTACGCAATTAGAGACGTGATGTTCGCGTGGAAGAGCGCGGATTACGGCCCAAGCCTGGTCCAATTCTTCGGGCTTTACAGCCTGATTTAAGAAACGTTCTCTTCGTTACGCGAGCGTACATTAGCATAAAGACCGGTGTAAAACACCGGTCTGTTTGTCTCTCCTTCTCTCGGATAATTAAGAGAGAGAGAGAGAGAGAGAGAGAGAGAGAGAGAGAGAGAGACAAGAGAGGTCTCAGTCGCGTCCTGATTTCACCTTTTCATCGCTCATTTGTAACAGCCGCGTGGTCAGACTTCCAGTGCTCGGCAAATAATAGCTTGCGAGATTCGTCAATACTCGCGCGCGTTAGGCCCCTTGCACAATGCCAGGCAACAAGCAATAAGAATAAAAATAGACCAATCACAAACCATTATTACAAGAATAATCTATTGTGATTGGTATATTTTTATTCTTATTGCCTGTTGCTTGGCATTGTGCAAGGGGCTTTATTCTGTCCCGACGCGCTCGCCGCGCGATTCATTAGCGAGATAAGTAAATGATTGTTCGCGAAAGTTTACACGCGCGCGCACAGCGGGATTTAACTAACGGATTCCGCTCGAGTTACTGTCCGACGTAGCACGTGGGCAATTGTTACTTTGTGTGTGCGGACGTGGACAGACGTGCGAGCTCAGCTGGGTGCGCGCGTCTCGCGTAATAAACGCGCGTCGTAGCTGTAAACGACGCGAACTCCTCGGCGGATAACGATCCTGTCAGGACATTAACTCATGGGACGCGCCGCGTGTGTGCATCCAGGCGTCGTGGACTCTTTGCCACTTGTTTGCTGGTCGACTGTGACTTACCTGCGATTTTCTCTACCTAAGTCTCGTCTGAGACCGAGACCCGATTTTTACCGGATTTTTCACCGATCTCTGTCTGCTTTTCTTTCTACTGCTATAATCAGCTTGCTTCTCTCTCTCTCTCTCTCTCTCTCTCTCTCTGTGAGGTGAAGGGACTGAGAGAAGTGAACTGAAGTGTCCGCGAAACGTTGGTAAAAGATTGACAGGAAACGCGACTCTAATCTGGAAGCCCAATGCGGAATTCCTTCATCTAATGTTTTACTCAATTTCTTTCCATCCAATTTGACTGTGATTTTCAATTATATGCACACATATAAGGTAAATGTTCCAATGACCGGACACGTCCCAGTATCCGACCACTTTGAAAACAAATATTTACTATTTATTTTAACAATAATGTATGAGAGTAATAATTATTGTAAAAAAAACTGCAATATATTTGACGATTAGTTCGAAAAAAATATACCCAATTTGATACTTTTCTGTTAAAACAAAAATTAATTGAATAAGTATGCACCTATAGTTTGGCAAAATAACGGTCAATCGTTAATAAATTCATTAAAAGGTAGCATCTATATTTATATTATTTTCCGTTAGCACATACTAATTTTCTAATTGCGCTCAGACACTGGGACAAATTATCTCCGAACATTGGGCCATAATTTATTTAAACTGTCCGGTCCACTGATACATTAATGCGTTTCATTGCTTGTATAAATATTTTATCAATAATAGACATATACATTGGTTTAAATAATTTTTCTCTACTTAAGGGAATCTTAAGTTTTCGAATAAACGCAAATATTTACATCAAAACTATTCTTAATATTATATATTGTATTTTTTGTGACGACGTACGCTTAAACTTCCGGTTACTGGGACATTTACCTTATGTCTCAATTTCAAAACCGTGCAAGTCATATGGAGGCATGTATGATGTCTGGCGTATGGCATTTCGCGATATAAGAAGCCGTCTCTCGGTATTGCGACTTCGCAGTACCGAGCAATCAAGGATCAACTCCATATCTAGCGAAGGACCCGCCGGTACGATCAAGATCCGGGCTTTTTCGCCGCCCTTTATTGCTCAAGCCTGAGATAAAACGGCTGCAAGTGCGGCGGCCAGTCAATCTTGCGCAAGTTAATCTCGCGAATCGAGCGATCGAGCATCGGACAAGAATCGCGTCGACGAATTATTGACCCCGAACGAACTTTTTTTCGTCATCCCCCCGATGTGGCCGCGTTTCGTAAGTATCTCCGAAGCCGCTCCGGAGTCGGCTCCTCATCTCCACTTGCGCGCGTCCTTATTTCGATTGGCTGAGCTTCGCCTTGCTCCGCGTGCCGCCTCTAATTAAGCTAATTTTGGACGTCGAGAAATCGCACGAGCGAAACGTTCTTTTTTAAGCGACAGGATACTCTTCTCAGTGGCGTCATTTATCGGCGTCTGTACTAAATACTGATGTTAGGACGTACACAGCGGAGACGAAATTCTTCTAACGGTGCGCATGTAAGGAGCCGCTTTCTGCTGGAAATTTCGCAAAACGCACCGAACGATCTGCCTTAATTACCGATGAGGCATTAATAGCGAAGCGCAGGGGTCATCGATTTCTCCCCGCGTCTTTATGCGTGTTGCAACTGTACCAATTACACCGCGAAACCGCCTTCATCGTCTCCGAACTCCAAATTGATTGGCTGTTCGTTGCTACCACGCGAAGTAATGGCTACTAAACATCGAAATTCCGCGTGCCGGCGCGGTATTATCTCGAAACACGTGAGGTCACGTCCAGGTCACTCGAATCCGGCTGCTTAGATCGCGCGCGGCTGTAGACTATGAAAAAAAATGTGTGTGTGTGTGTGTGTGTGTATGCAAGTCGCGCCTCTCACCGAGCAGGATTAACGATTGTTTCGAAACGCACTTCATTCGTATCAAGAGAGTTTCTTGACATTTTATCCTTTTTTTCATTCTCGCGCGGTACTCTCGCGCAAAATACGATTACATAAGCGAGCGAACGCGGGTTACATACGTATGTATCTCGGCGTGGAGCGCGCGGACATCTTCGTATTCTTAATTCGTTTCGTCACTCGCGAGGGATTTGTTAAGAAGCGCGTTTTATTTATGCGAGGGAAATTCCTCGCCAGGCGCTTCCTTAATCTCTCACGCCACCACTTTTCGCACTTCCTTTCACTTCTCGCTCGCGGGAGACTCTTCTATTTCGAGCAAAATTCGACCCTTCCTCTCTCTCTTTCTCCTTTAGAATCCGTTCCTCTTCCTCTTTTTCAGGAAACATGCGTATATTTCACAACGCCTCATTGTTACAAGTGTGAACTTGCCTTTTCCGGATTTCAATACGCGCGATTATAAAGTGCGTGCCGAGGGAAATTTTTACGTGCCTCGTAAGATAAATGTCCCAGTAATCGGATGTTTAAGTGTAGGTCGTCACAAAAAATACAATATATAATATTAAGAATAGTTTTGATATAAATACATTTATCCGAAAACTTAAGATTTCCTTAAGAAGAGAAAAATTATTTAAACGCATGTCTCATTTAAATGTATCTATTATTAATGAAATTATCTATGTATATATCTATTATTAATGAAATATTTATACAAGTAATGAAGTGTTATTGACCGGATAGTTGAAATAGATTATAGTCCGATGCTCGGATATAATTTGTCCCAGCGTCTGACTGCAATTAAAAAATTAGTATGTGCTAACGGGAAATAATATAAATATAAATGCTATCTTTTAATGAATTTACTAATGATTGATCATTATTTTGCCAAGCCATAGGTACATACTTATTTAATTAATTTTTATTTCAATACAAAAGTATCAAATTGGGTATATTCTTTTCCAACTAATCGTCAAATATTGGAATTTTTTTTTACAATAATTATTACTTTCATTCATTATTGTTAAGATAAATAGTAAATATTTTTTTCAAAGTGGTCGGATACTGGGACGTGTCCGGCTATCGGGACGTTTACCTTAGTTCCTGTCCAATGCATTCCCCGAAGGGATACGCGTCTCTCTCACTTCGGGCTAAGCAACTCACGTGGAGTTTATCGAAATCGGAGGAGCAGCACCGCGGGAACGCATATCCTTGGGAAATGAATTTCGCGCTTATAAAACAATTTCTTGCGACAAAGAGGCGACTTGGAAAGCGTGTACGTGATTGTGCACTTGGCACTATCACTGGCGGTTTCGACACCCCATATGGGTAACAAGTTAACGTTGA